CAAGGACTACAGTTCCTCCTGTGCTCTTACTCTGCCGTCCTTAACATCTGTAGAGCTTCTGAATTAGGTAACTCCAGGGGACCTTAATCACATTTGTGCTGGGATATTTTCCATTTGATTATACAGACCCTTCCATCCTTCTTGCAACTGCTCAGTGTGCCTTGGGAGGCTGACCTGTATAGAATCCATCGTTCGAGTTCCCTTGACCTGTGCCTGCCAGGTGTATTTGACCAATGCGAGGCACCACCAACAGGAGATTGTGTAGTTGGGGTAATCTGTCCTTTGGTCTTCTTTGTAAGAGTCACTACAGATTGACTGTATCCTTGTGTTACCAGCCACAGCTCCTGTTGGGTAGCCCTTTCCATACAACTTCTTTCCCAGTCATGCTCACCACTCTTTCCCTTCTCCTTCAGGACCAGGAGTGGCAATGGCTTCCTGCTAACCTGAGGCCACTGGACCATCTCTTTTCCTGAACACTAACTCCAAACACCAAACTCACTGCCGTCAAGTTGATTCCAACTCATAGCAACCCCTCCTTGGGTTTTAGAGGCAGTATCTCTAAGGAAGTAGATTGCCCAGTCTTCCTTACAAGGAGTGGCTCATGGGTTTGAACTACCAGCCTTCTGGTTAGGAGTCAAATGCCTTAGGCACTATGCCATCGGATAGTGCCTTTGAAGAAATTGTCTATCACCACCCCATTTGAGTGAGCCATCTGTGTCCTGCCAGGACCCTGACTGATTCCACACTGCAGTCTCTCTGCACAGCCATGTGGCCATGTTCAAAAGCCCAGTGGGGGCCTTTTATCATCAGGTCTGCAAATGGCTACTCCACCCCCAGGCATTAGGTTGGACTTCAGACAGGAAGAAAGGGCAGAGGCATCAAGCAGCTGTCTGCCAGGATAGCAATCTAGGAAGCCCCAGACAGCTGACTTTGCTTACTTGCCACTCCAACTGCAGGGTGTCTGAAAAGATGAGTGTTCTCAACTGTGCACATTTCCCCAAATAAAATTATATTTTTATTAGAAAAAAGGAAGGGGAGAAAGCTTACTAAGGAGGCCACCAGCAGTGTGAGCAATATCATATAACACATTTGGACTTTTTAAGTTACAAATAACTTACTGTTAAATTTCTTTCCCTAGTTCACAACTTGGGGATTCTTCATTCAACAGTAATAATAACTTGCATGTGTTCAGACCTTACTGAATGCTTTACATGCGTATGTCTTTTAAGCTACACCAGAGTCCTACAAGGACTTCATAGATGAGGAAAACTGAAGGTGAAACCTTTAGTAACTTGTAAGTAAAATGCCTGAACTAACACGTCTGCCTGTCTCCGTGCTCATAACCACCACACTGTCAGAGTGCCATTGATATCCATTCCTGTTTTCGTTTCTTTCCCAGGGAAGAATCTGTGCATGGAAATCTAGTTCATGGATAATAAGACTTTTGCATCTTCAGAGCATGACAGAAGAAACAAACAAACAAAAAAAAGTGGAACCAGGTACTGTAGGAATCAAGGAAAAGATGTACAAAGAATAATGATCAGAGAGATTTGGGTCCACGTCAAAGCTAGTATGAATAGCAATAGCAGGCAGAGTCTATGAAAACTACATAAGTATTATGTCAATTTTGAATCCCCTCTTGAGTGCTTTGGTTGTCATATTGTTGTCATACTTGGGTGCTTTGGTTCTCATACACTTACACTGGGTCAGGCATTCTGCTTGGTGAACCAGACTTGCAAAGGAGAAGACATGATATTTAGAGAAAACTGGAATGGACAGAAGGAGCCCTGGTGGCACAGGGGGTAAGGCATTTGGCTGCCACCCAGAAGGTCAGTGGTTCAAACCCACTAGCAACTCCACAGGAGGAAGATAAGGCAATCTACTTCCGTAAAGATTTACAGCATTGGCTGTAACCTTATGAGGCTTGCTCTGAGTTGAAATTGACTCAATGGCACTGGGTTTGGTTTGGTGGGAATGGGCAGGAGTCAGCATCTCAGCTTGGGATGCTGTCTACTATGATGCTGTGGAGCGTGTCTGAGAGATTGCCCTGCTGCTCATGAGAACACATTGCTCCAGAAGGGCAGTGGCAAGCCCTGAACCATGAAGTATTGATCATATTACTGCTCATACGTGTGCAATGAGGTTAGGAGCAAGAGTGCTTAGAACCCAGCACCACCCTGTGCTGCCAATGAACCTTCTGACTTCCTGTAGGTGATCCATGTAGAAAATGTATTTTTGCTGCAGCCAAAAATAGATAGCATTACAACTATGGCTGCAAGCTAAAATGTTGAATGGATTTGTGGTTTAAAATAACTTGCTGGGAGTAAAGAGAGAAGAAGAAGAGTGCAATGTCAAGATTGTGCCAAAGAAAAACAACACATTTGCTGGACTGTGTGAAGGCTTTAGTGTAGGAATATATAGTCAGCAATTCTACACAAACAGCCACTTGATGCTGAAAGATGACCAAATAAAGAACGCAATAAAAAAAAAAAAAGGTTTTGGCTACTGTTTCCTGGTGTGTTTCAAATACTGTAACCATAGAGTTAGATTACATCCAGTTATTGCAAAGAATGCAATAACTGGATTAATCTAACTCTATGGTTACAGCCAAAAATCTAGTACTTGAAACACACCAGGAAACAGTAGCCAAAAGCAAACCAAACCCACTGCCATCAAGTTGATTTCAACTCATAGTGACCCCATTGGGTTTCTGAGGCTGTAAATCTTTGCAGAAGTAGATTATTTCATCTTCTTCCCACGGAGGCTGGTGAGTTTGAAGCAGGAAACTTCTTGGTTAGCAGCCAAATGCCTGACCCACTAAGCCACCCAAGCACCTTAAGGAAACAGTGGAGAAGCACTAAATGGAAATTTCAGTCCTAGCTTCATCACTAACTTGTTTTAGGAACTTAGAGTTTAACATGCCCAATGCCTCAGTTTGCTCATCTACAAATTGGGGCAAATACCATCTGCTCAACTTATCTAATAGGAACGTTGTAATAATAAAACTAAATGGAAGATGTGGCAATACTTTGGCAATGTTCAAAGTTCTATAGAAATAGGAAAAAATACCCAGGATAGTCCTGCTCTCCAAGTTCAAGTCTGAGGAAATGCTTTTAAATCCTTTAGATCTGCGCTAGTAGGCCCTGAGTGGTGTGAATGGTTAACTGTCCAGCTGCTAACTGAAAGGTTGGGGGTTTGAATCCACTCAGAGGCACCTCAGAAGAAAGGCCTGGCAATCTGCTTCTGAAAAATCAGCCTGTGGAGTGCGACTCTACTCTGATGCACACAGGGCTGCCAGGGGCTGGAGGTGACTCTGCAGCAGCTGGTTCAAGGGTTCAGAACAGTAGCCAGTAGCTGTGGCTACTGGTATTTAAAATGTGACTATGCAACTGAGGAACTGGATTTTACGTTTAATTTTAACGAATTTAAATTGAAAAGCTAATATTCGATTCAGCTATTGGGAAAAAATTTAAATATGGAACAACTTGGATATGTGAATCTAATTCTGAAACTGTAAATTTTATGAAACCTAAACATAAGGAGCTCTGGTAGCATAGTGCCTAAGGCACTTGACTGCTAACCAGAAGGCTGGCGGTTCAAACCCACCAGCTACTCCTCAGAAGGAAGGTTGGGCAATCTACTTCGGTAGTGATACTGCCCCGGAAACCCAAGGAGGGGTCGCTATGAGTTGGGGCCGACTGGAGGGCACATAACAACAACAAACATAGATCAGGTTTCAGAAGAAAATTAGGTGTTTGAAATCGAGATCGAATTTTACCCAGTAAGTGTAAAATGCACACTGGATTTCACAGACTTAGTACAAAAAGTAAGTAAAGTGTTGGTAATTTTTTATATCCATTGTATGTTGAAATAATATGTTTGTATATATTGGGTTGCATATCATTAGCATCGTTTCACCACTTTGAATTTTTTTTAATGTGAATACTAGAAAATTTAAGATGGCAATATGACTTACATTCTGTTTATATTGCACAGCACCACTTTAGAGAGGGACAGTGAACAGGGAGACCCTCATTTCCTCATAGGAAATAGGGAAAGGGACCTTTGCAGAGATAAATTCCATTGTCCCAAGTAACGTGCTGGTACTACTTCCTGGGGTTCTCAGAATCCAGCAAAAACATTACAGAGCTGGGTGTGGCTGATACCGGTTCCCTGCCTGATTCCTCTCTATGTTCATACACAAGACACACCATCTTGAAATGCTTATCACTATCATTGCCTTCGTAGAATGAGGCCATAGTTGTTAGCCTAGCTTTGATTTTGGGACGAGAGGATTTTAATGACTAAGATGTTAGAAGTTAGTAACTAAGAAGATACTCTCAAAATCAAAGAACTTTACTTCTCATTTCTGCTCTTTCAAAAGGAGCTCTGGTGGTGTAGTGGTTAAAGCATTTGGCTGCTAACCAAAGGTCAGTGGTTTGAACCCCTCAGCCTCTCTGCAGAAGAAAGATGAGGCAGTCTGCTTCCCTAAAGATTTACAACCTTGGAAACCCAATGGGGTCGCTGTGAGTCAGACCGACTTGATGGCAGTGAGTTTGAATTTGTTTGAGCTCTTTCAAAGTTGACTTTAGACCCCAAGAGTGGTAGAAATTCATTCTCCAAGCATTTGCTTTGCACAGCTTCTATTTTTTTTTCCCCCAAAAAAAGAGTGTTGTTTTCGAAATGATTTGCACGCAGACTGCTGCTCGAAGATATGAGAGGAAGCCTGGCTGATCAGGACCGGCCTACCCAGCACATCTGGAAGTGGTTTCAGGGACCGCCTCACTCCGCTAGCGCCAGCGCAAAGTTTAGAGTCCCAGCAGCTGCGCGCGGGGATAAAAGAAATCCGAGCCACTCCAAAGTCAACGCAAGCAAAGGGGGCGGGTGGAGAAGAAATACTCCATTGGAAACGTAATATTGGCTTAACCCTTTGGGATTTCCAATGGTGTCTTCAGAAGAGGCAGAAGCAGCGTGAAGGGCCGCAGTCCGGGGCCAGCCAGGATTTGAACAGTCTGCCCTGCAGCTCTTCTGGACCACTGAGCCCAAGCCTTTCCCTCAGCGTTCACCAGGTAAATAAAGAAATTTACCAGCAGCGCGGCAGTTTTTCGGTTTTACCCTGGCCTGCCTGCAGCAGTTATTCTGCTGTAGACCCCAAGGAAGTAAATCAGAAGCGTCAGGCGCAAACTTTTCCTTCAGAAGCTCCTCGGTTAGTATTTTTAACATTCCAACGGAACCTTTTCTGCCATCTCAAGAAAAGCTTACTCAAGAAAAGAATACTCGACGTGTAAGTTTTTCACATTCTGAACTGCTAGTCCAGACCTGGGTTTATTCCACCTCCCACCCCCAAATCATGTGACTTTCTCTTTGCATCGGATTTTAAGCATGGAAATGCCAGTTAACTTTGACGTGGATGTTAGTTATTTAATGCAGATATGTTTCTGAGCCACAAATGATTTAATTGAGCTGTGATTCATGTTTTCTGCTTCTAGGAAGCTGTTCTGAGGTCCTCCAATAAAAGAGCTGGCAGTTATGGAAATCGAAATGAGAATTTTTGTATTTACAGTAGTCATAGTGTTTGGGTTGGAGATATATAGATATATTGATATAACCAAATCCACTGCCATCAAGTCAATTCCAACTCATAGTGACTTCCATTGGTTTCCAAGGCAGTAAATCTTTACGGAAGTAGATTGCCCAGTCTTCCTTATGTATATAATGTATATAATGTTCTTGGGCACAAAAAGTATATATCCTCAAAAGGAAGATTGGGCAATCTACTTCTGTAGAGATACCGCCTTGGAAACCCAAGGAGGGGTCCCTATGAGTCAAATCAACTTGACAGCAGTGAGTTTGGTGTTTTTGACACACACACACACACACACATACACTTTTAGTATACAAGAACATATGTTTATTGCAAACAAAAAGAAAAGGAAGGACAGAAACAGAAGCTCAACATATAAGTAAGGTTAAGAATTTTAAAGCCTCTTACCTTCTGCCTTAATGGCAGCATAATTAATAAGAACAAAAGGCCGTCTTGCTGCCTGCCATACCCAGAGGGTATTTTTGCAGACCTCAAGGGCAAATTTTGTGAAATCTGTAGTGTGAAGGCAGAAAGCTAGGTGAGTCTTCTCTGCAGACCACGGACTCCCAGTGTTTCTGACCAGCATCCCATCCCCGGCATGGCCTGGTGGGACATGTGACTTCTAACATGGAGATCCTCTGTAGCTGGGCTGGGAAATAACTTCTTCTGACTAGGTGGGCATTTTCAAGGTTCCATATTTTTCCAATATAGCCGACAAGTTGCACATAATCTACACTGTGTATTAGGTGGGCCCCAAGAATACCATTGGTGACACTGTGTAGTAGCAGCTGTCATAGGCTCACCCTAAGAGGGGATTCTGGGGGATTAGAATGTAGTCCTGACAGCTCCATTCACAGCACCAGACTTTCCGTTGCTGGTGGATATTTGGCTGGGATTTTGTCTGTAAATTGAGATGTACACTTATTTCAGTTGACACTTAGCTTCTGCTGCTTTTAGATGTTTCTGCTGTACATACCTGTCAGTAGTTTTCCATACGTCATATTCAATGATGCTAATCAATGATTTCCAAGGGAGAAAGTCTTGACATATGTCATGGAGTCTTTATCATATTTTTTCCAGTGTCTCTTCAAGTAAACTAGCTTCTGAGGCCGACCATTCTTCCATTTTATCTCTGCATAAAACAGGTCCTCCAGGTGATACTAAGACACTAACTGCACTGCTCAAATAAGAGCTGTATCTAAACACTGTATTCATAACATGAAATAGATAACGTACTAGGAAGCTGGAACCACACTCGTGCAGACTAGGCTACGTCACAGAACTGCTGCAGTCAAGAGCTCAAGCAGATGTCCCCACAGCATGCACTACAACTGTTGTTGTTGTTGTTGTTATGTGCCATCGAGTCAGCCCTGACTCATAGCGACCCCTCCTTGGGTTTCCGAGGCAGTATCACTACGGAAGTAGGATTGCCCAGCCTTCCTTCCGAGGAGTGGCTGGTGGGTTTGAACCGCCAGCCTTCTGGTTAGCAGGCAAGTGCCTTAGGCACTATGCTACCAGAGCTCCCTGCACTACAACTAGAAACTGGTTAATCTGTTGATCCCTAGGTGGGCTTTTGGGATCCCAAACTTTAAACTTCCAATTTTGACTGTTCTCTGTCACGTGATTCTCTTTCTAAGATCATTTCTGAAATATCTGCTTGGTATGTAGATCCCACTCTGATCTCACCTTTGTCAGCTGTAGTGTTTCCATTGAGAGGTCATAGAACAAAGAGTAGAAAAGGTATCCTCCTTATCAAGATCGGACGATACTGGCTCTGTCATTTCAGGGGGCAACACGGAATTTCCCTCTGATACATGTGTTGCAGGCAGAGATTCATACTGACGTAACAAAAAGAGTTCCCTGTATTTCCACTGTGGAGCTCTGATGGTGCAGTAGGTAAAGCATTTGGCTGCTAACCAGAAGGTCAGCAGTTCAAACCCACCAGTGCTTCACAGAAGGAAGACGGGCCAATCTACTTCTGTAAAGATTTATAGCCTTGGATGTTTCAACTGATGTTTCTGTTCATCAGTCAAGTCAGGCTCAATCATTATTTCAGATTCTTCCTCAGTTTCTTTAGCATGCTTGTCTGAAACATTATAAACATATTGGAAATATCTTGTCATCTATAAAAGCACATGACTTTTACTTCCACATTGCCACTTGCAGTCTTGTTGAGTAGTTCTATCATTCTGATTAGGTATGGGTTGCTGTAGGAATTCTTAAAGGAATCTCTAACTCATTACATGTTGGCCACTATGTCTGCCCACCTGCACATGACTATATATATATTTTTAACACACACACACACACACACAAAAAAACAACTTTTTATGCTTACCTCATTATTATTATTATTCAACTTTTTATTGTGATTTGGGTGAAATTTTACAAAGGAGCTTCATTTTATGTTCAACAGTTATGTTTACCTTATTGTTGTTGTTGTTGTTATGTGCTGTTGAGTCGAATCCAACTCATAGCGACCCCTCCTTGGGTTTCCGAGGCAGTATCACTACAGAAGTAGATTGCCCAACCTTCCTTCCAAGGAGTGGCTGGTGGGTTTGAACCTCCAGCCTTCTGGTTAGCAGTCAAGTGCCTTAGGCACTATGCTACCAGAGCTCCTGTTTACTTTATTAGCAAGTGTAATACATGGGATAAGCCTGACTATGTGACACAAAAAGAAATAGTTAATACAAGAGAAGAGGAGAAAGAGAAAATCTACATGTATCTAACTATTACAAACACCTGGAGTACTGTAGAAAAAAATCAATTCTCTAGTTGTTTGGTAGTGCCAAATACCCAGAAGGGATATTGATTTGTGTATTTGTTTTTGTCTTTTCCTTTTCCCCAAAATGTTCTGGTGTTGTGTTTCTATACAATATTCTTTTTGCATTACATGCAGTCCAGTCCTCCAGGCAATGCAGTTAGAAGTAAAGAGTGTGTGTGTGTGTCAGACTTTGCCACTTCTGAGTTTTTTACTCTGAAGCGTTATTTAACTTAACTATGCCTCTGTGTCCTCATCTGTAAAATGGGATTAATGATAGTATTCATAGAGTTAGGAATTAAACAACATAATGTGTATAAAGCATGCAGCACAGGGTGAATGCTAGCTTCTGTGGTGGTGCTGATGCTGGGATCAAAGAGACCTCATTGCGTGACGCTTCTTCAAGTTAGCGCCATCTGATCTGTTGACCCAGAAAACTGACCTTTGGAAAAGGTAAATATACCAGAAGATATATTTAGCATATATTTAGAAGATATGATTAGCTCTTAGGGACACTTTGTGAGGTTTGCAGCCCAGAGAAGCCACTTTTGTAAAAGGTGAGCTGCACATTCCAAAAATGTTTATTTTGATTCCAGATTCAGAAAAATAAAGAATGATTGCCCAACTCATGACATATCAGACTTCCAAAAAAAAAGACATGGTTCTTAACAAATGTTGATGACGTTTAGTTGATTTTAAGTAAAATTTTATTATTTAACCCACAGGTCACAGTGCTTATCTGCGAGAACACACATGGCTCTGTTAAGAAAAAGTAAGATTACATCTTCTGAAAATAACAGAATACAATGTTTTGGTGAACTGTTTTGATGCTGAGTCTTGGCTCATTTGGAAATCTTATTCAATTTTTATAAATAGTTTTCCCACAGGCAATTTTTGGCATGATCATTTGAGGATGATTCCTGTGGGAAATTTTAAGTATTTTGGCCAGGATTGGACTTATCATGGTTTTATATGTGTTTATAAAACTTGCAAATAAAATTTATTTTCTCATCCTAAACATTCATGTTCATGTCTAATTCAGCGTTTTCTGTTTGAATTTTGTATTTATATTATTCCACCACTTGTCTCTCAGTTTGTCTTATGCTGATGGCTTACATGTTACTGTGATGCTGGAAGCTATACCACCAGTATTTCAAATACCAGCAGGGTCATCTAAATAGCAGCAGAAAATGGTCTGATATAGCACTGGAAGATGAGTCCCTTAGGTTGGAAGGCACTCAAAATACAACTAGGGAAGAGCTGCCTGCCCAAAATAGCCAAAAAACCCAAACCCACTGCCATCAAGTTGATTCTGACTCATAGCTACCCCACTGGATTTCCAAGGCTGTAAATCTTTATGGAAATAGACTGCCCCCATCTTGCTTTCATGGAGTGGCTGGTGGGTTTGAACCACCAACCTCCTGGTAGCAGTCAGATGCCTTAGACACTGAGTCGACCATAATGATGTGGATGAAGTAACGCTTCCAGGACCTTCATTTGCTGATGTGTCATGACTCAAACTATCCATTAATAATTGGAACGTGGAACGTATGAAGTATGAATCCAGGAAAATTGCAAGTTATTAAACATAAATGGAACTCATAAGACCAATATCCTAGGCATTTGTCTTCCATACTTTGGTCATGTTGTCAGACAGGACCAATCCCTGAAGAATCATGTCACACGTGGTAAAGTAGAGGGTTGGCAGGCAAAGGGGAAGACCCTCAATGAGATGGACTGAACAGTGGCAATGACAATGAGTGCACGTAGGGTAACAACTATGAGGATGCCATAGGACCCAGCAATGTTTTTTTTTTTTTCTATTGTACATAGTGTTGCTATGCATTGGAAGTGGACTCACTAGTACCTAACAACAACAAGGTATTAGGAAGCTGCAGTAGACTGCTATTGACCATTTTGAATTAGACAATCATATGGTCTACTATGCCAGGAAAGGAAAATTGAAGAGGAATGGTGTGATATTCGTCATCAAAAAGAACATTTCAAGATCTACCATGAAGTGTGATGGTGTCAGTGATAATATCCATACACCTACAAGGAAAACCAGTTAATAGGACTATTATTGAAATGTGTGCACCAACCACAAAAGCCAAAGAGATGAAGAAATTGAAGACTCTTATCAACTTCTGCAGTCTGAAATTGATCAAATATGCAATCAAGATGCATTGATACTTACTGGTGCTTGGAATCCAAAACTTGGAAATGAAAAAGGATAGGGGGCTGGAAAATATGGCCTTGGTGATAGAAATGACACCGGAGATCACATGATACAATTGTGCAAGACCAACTACTTATTCTTTGTAAATACCATTTTTCAAGAACATAAATAAGCTATATACATGGACCTCACTGAATGGAACACACAAGAATAAAATCAACTACATCTGTGGAAAGAGACAATGGAAAAGCTCACTGTCATCCATCAGTGAGAGCAGGGCCAGGGGCCGACTGTGGAACAGATTTTATCAAGTTGAAGCTGAAGAAAATTAAAACAAGTGCACAAGAGTCAAAGTACCTTGAGTACATCATACTTGAATTTAGAGACCATCTCAAGAAAAGATTTGATGCATTGCACACTAATGACCAAAGACCAGGTGAGTTGTAGGATGACATTAAGGACATAATGCATGACGAAAGCAGATCATTACAAAGACAGGAAAGAAAGAAAAGTACAAAGTAGATATCAGAGGAGACTCTGAAACTTGCTCTTGAACATAGAATAGCTGAAGCAAACAGAAGAAATGATGAAGTAAAAGAGCTGACCAGAGAGATTTCACAGAGCAGCTTGAGAAGACAAAATAAGATATTATCATGAAATGTGAAAAGACCTGGAGTTAGAAAGCCAAAGTTGAAGAACATGCTTGGCATTTCTCAAGCTCAAAGAAATGAAGAAAAAATTCAAGCTTTGGGTTGCAATATTGAAGATTGTGTGGGCAAAATACTGAACAACACAGGAAGCATCAAAGGAAGATGGAAGGAATACACAGACTCACTGTATCAAAAAGAATTGGTTGACGTTCACCCATTTCAGGAGGTCAAAATGGATGGTATTGAAAGAAGAAGTACAAGCTGCACTGAAAGCATTGGTGTAAAACAAGGGCTCCAAGAACTGATGGAATTCCAATTGAGATGTTTCAACAAATGGATGCAATGCTCGAAGTGCGCACTCCTGCCAAGAAATCTGGAAGACAGCTACCTGGCCAACAAACTGGAAGGGATCCATATTTGTGCCCATTCCAAAGAAAACTGATCTAACAGAATGTGGAAATTATCAAACCATATCATTAATATCACTTGCAAGTAATGTTTTGTTGAAGATAATTTTAAAAATGGTTGCAGCAGTACATAGACAGGAAACTCTCAGAAATTCAAGCTGGACTCAGAAGAGGCTCTAGAATGAGGGATGTCATTGCTGATGTCAGATGGATCTTGGCTGAAAGCAAAAAATACCAGAAAGATGTTTATCTGTGTTTTATTGACTACGCAAAGGCATTTGACTGTGTGGATCATGATAAATTATGGATAACATTGCAAAGAATTGCAATTAATTGTGCTCATGAGGAACCTGTATATCAAACAAGAGGCAGTCGTTCAAAAAGAGTGAGGAGATACTGCATGGTTTAAAATCAGGAAAGGTGTTTGCCAGGGTTGTATCCTTCCACCATACTTATTCAATCTGTATGCTGAGCAAACAATCCAATAAGCTGGCTTATCTGAAGAAGAATGCAGCATCAGGATTTGATGAAGACTCATTAACAACTTGTGATATGTAGAGGACACAACCTTGCTTTGCTGAAAATGAAGTGGACTTGAATCACTTACTGATGAAGATCAAAGACTACAGTCTTCAGTATGAATTATATCTTAAATACAAGAAAACAAATATCCTCACAACTGGACCAATAAGCAGCATAAATAAATATTGTTGCTATACATTAATTTTGGATCTGGCACAAAGTGCTAAGTTGCTAACTGAAAGGTCAGTGGTTAAAACCAGCTGTGCTACAGGAGAAAATTGTGGCAGTCTTCTTCCATCAAGATTTACAGCCTTGGAAACCCTATAGGGCAGTTCCACTCTGTCCTACAGGATTGCTGAGTCTCAACGACTCAACAGCAGAGTCTGGATTTGGTTTAATGCTGTGAGCACAAATCTTCTAAATTATCTCATGCACAACCAGTGATCCATGATTCATGCTGAGGAAAATACTGTCTCCTCCCATGCTACATCTCTATAGGTTCAAGCATCACTGGTCTGGAACAGATGGTTCTGGAGGCTTAGAACTGGAAGAAATACAGGAGTGTTCTGACCTCTTATCCAGGCCATAAATTTTTTTGCATGTCATCCTTAGCCAGTGGCTGAATTAATTGAGAAGCAGCTGTGTAACAGCTAAGCACATGTACTCATAATAAGTATTATATAAATGATGGCTATTGTTTGAAACAAAACAGTCACACACACAGTGTGGCTCCAATGGCTGTAAATGTAATGATTGAAGTCTAAGCCCCTGCCATCAGACTACCTGTGTTCAGCCCTGGAAACTCATTAAGCTAAGTCTCTGTATCCCTGACCAACAACAGTGTCCCAAGTTAACTCTTTACTCCATATGCCATCTGTTCAAAGACAGGTCCCAGGCCACCACTCTATGTTTGTCATGATGGCATCTGCTCACACCGCCAACGTAAACTTTTCAGAAGATTTCCGTTTGATAAGTTGAGCTATAAAATGTTTCTATTTTTATTTCAGTTAATCAGGTGTTGCTGTTCCTTCTGATCTTGACCCTCTGCGTGATTCTGTATAAGAAAGTTCATAAGGGGACTGCGCTCAAGAATGAAACAGGTCAGCAGGCCCTAGAGTCCATCGAGATGGAATTCCTGTGAACATGGTTGGGATGTATTGAGTCCTTTCGATCATTTGATTCAGAAATAAGCCATAATTTGTTCAGCTCCTGAGGACCTGCTCACAGCCTGCCCACTCAAGGCCACCCTCAGGCAGTGCTCTAGAAATGCTCACTGCTGTTCAGACGTTAGCATATGTAAGGATCCGAAAAATCAGCCCCTGAAAACCCTTTGGAGCACAGTTCTACTTTGACTCATATGAGGGGTCACTATGAGTTGGAACTGACTTGATGGCAGCTGGTTTGGGGCACTGGTGGTTCAGTGGTCGAATTCTTGCCTGCTGGGTGGGAAGCCCTGGTTCCATTCCTAGCCAATGCATTTCAGACACGTCATCACTTGTCTTGTCAGTAGAGGCCGAACCAGTTTCAGGGGAGTTCTCAGGCTAAGACAGACTAGAAAGAAAGGCCTGGTGACTACTTCTGAAAATCAGCCAGTGAAAACCCTATGGGTCCCAACAATCCAATCTGCAACCATTCATGGGAACGGCGCAGGTCCTGGCAGTGTTTCCTAATGTTGTGTAGGAGGTTGCTATGAGTCGAGTTGCTAACAACAACAATAACAGGTTATTGTCCAGGGTCCTATGAATCCATACGCTGATGAGAAACAGGGTGCCCTCCCATGTACTCTTCTGATAGTAACATTCCATGTAATATCCTGATAATTTCATTGTGATTAGCATAGTGGAGATTCACTCCTAACCCATTTGGGGTGAAGAAAGTTTTCTTTCCCAGCCCATTCAGGGGGAGGAATGTTTATATGTTTGGCTAAAAAATCCTAACTTGAAATGGGATTCACAGATTTGGTGTCGAGAGAGCAGACATTTCACCTATTTTAGTAATGGGCATAGTTTGATAAGAGCTGCTTATGGGAAATTAATTGCAGACTAAGTCACTATCATTTCCAGTTTGTTTCTCCCTTCACTGTGTTGTTTTTGTAAGTTTTATTGGACACCAAATGGGTTTGACTTTAGTGGGTTGGCTGAGGCATCAGTTGGCACAATTGATCCAAATAATACAGCCAATAATTCCCAAAGAAGCTGCAAGGCTGGAGCACTGCGAAGATGCTATGGTTGATAAACCGTCCCCACCCTTTCTCCAGCTCTCTTTTGTTCTGTCCAGGGGCGATTTCTTGACAGAGAGCAGTACTTCTGGTGTAGTTTAGCTCCTGGCTTCTCTGACAAACAGAGGCTCTTAAAAAGATGTGATGTGTCTGCAGTAGAGCTGTCAACTCGGTGTTTCACCTCCTGTGGTATCCCCTCTCTCATGGGAACCTTCCTCTACCTCATTGTGCCGCAGCCTGCTGAAGGCCTCCACCTGAACCTGACATCCAAGTACATACAGCCCCAGCCTTTCAACCCTCCCCTCTCTCCTTGCATCCCAGTTATAGCCCATAAATCATTTCTACAGAATCCTGTTCTCTGTATCCAACCCATCAATTCCATTTAGTTCATTTTAGCAAAGTTTTATTGAGTATTTCCTAGGTGCCAGACTCTGTGAGGATAGTGTAATGAGCTTATAGTCTAGTGGAGGAGATAGACACAGAAATAGATTCTCCCAGTGCAGTGCAGTAAGTGTTCAGATCCAAAAACCAAACCCACTGCCATTAAGTCAATTCCAACACGTAGTGACCCCCACTGGGTTTCCAAGGCAGTAAATCTTTACAGAAGTAGATTGCCCGTCTTCCTTCTTTGGAGCAGCTGCTGCTGTGGTATCTCCTTTCTGGTCAGCAGTCAAATGCCTTAGGCACTGTGCCACCAGAGCTCCTTAAGTGTTCAGATCACTTACACTGCCATCAAGTAGGATCTGATTCATAGCAACCCCTCCTTGGGTTTCCAAGGTGGTATCACTACAGAAGTAGATCGCTCAACCTTCCTTCTGAGGAATGGCTGGTGGGTTTGAACCACCAGCCTTCTGGTTAGCAGTCAAATGCCTTAGGCACTATGCCACCAGAGGTCCTTAAGTGTTCAGATGGAAGTATCTAAAAACCTATCATCCATCCATCTGTCCATTCAAAATGTATTGTCAGTCCAGCAGGCACTGGGTCAGATGCAAAGGATGCAGAGATAAGCAAGATACCATCCCTGCCCTCACAGAACAGTGAGTTTAATAAGAGAAAAGGGAAAGATGTGTAACCGATTGAATTGCAATGCAGCTGATAAACTCAATCATGAGCAAGGACAGAATTAGCACAGATGAAGTGGTAGACTAATTTGTGTAGGAGCTACGAAAGGCTTCCCAGAAGCCCTGATGCCTGCACTACATTTGGAAGTTAAACAAGAAGTGGTATTGTTGTTAGGTGCCATTGAGTCAATTTTTGACTAACAGTGACTCCATGTGAGAGTAGAATTGCCCCATAGGGTTTTAAACTAGGCTGTAAGTTTTACAGAAGCTGATGGCCGGGTCTTTCTCCCACAAAGCTGCTGGATGGGTTTGAACCACCAGCCTCTCAGTTAGCAGCTGAGCACTTAACCGTTGCATCACCAGGACTCCTTTTAGACATGCAGAAAGGAGGCAGGCCAAGAGCTGAAAATCACAATGCCACATGAAGATGTAGATCCATTTGCAAACATGTTTGTGTGAAAGTGGGATCATATACTAAAAAGAATTTTGTATATTCTCTTCCTCCTTAATGTTATATGATGAACATTCTCTCATGTCAGTAAATATACTGTGAAAACGAAAAGAATTATTCTAATGGTGGAAACTTCAGATGTGCGGCAAGATGATGGAAAAGGTGGAAGAGGAACAGGGGGAGGCTCTTCAATGTTCTTAATCACCCAACGCTCAATAGCTCATGGTTGGTTTCATTAGAGCCTTGTTGAGTTAAATTTCAGCTAGAATTACCCTGGGTCTGTGAAGAAAGAGACAACTTAAAGCAAAAATCACATGAACATTTACCAGTCGATACTCTTTAAAAAAAAAAAAAAGCAAACTTGCTTTTGAGTTGATGCTGACTCATGGTGACCTTGTATGTGTCAGAGTAGAACTACGCTCTGTAGACCCCATAGGGTTTTCAGTGGCTGATCTATCTGAAGTAGATGGCCAGGCCTTTCTTTTGAGGGATCTCTGGGTGACCTTAACCTGCCAACCTTTCAGTTAGCAGCCAGATGTGTTAACTGGGCCACCCAGGGACTCCACTGGATACTCTACATTGCTGAATAGGATATTATTCTTCATACCTGGAAATTGTATTGCAGTACCAAAATATGATGTTAGGACATTAATATTTTATATCATACCCTATGATCAAAATAAACTTATTGTGTATTTTAGTCATGCTCTTTCATATATCTTCTTTCTCCTGCTGTCAGTTTTTGAAAAAATTGACTTGAGAATGGATGTTGTTGTTGTTGTTGTTATGTGCCATCGAGTTGGCCCCGACTCATAGTGACCCCTCCTTGGGTTTCCAAGGCAGTATCACTACAGAAGGAGGATTGCCGAACCTTCCTTCTGAGGAGTGGCTGCTGGATAGGGGAAGGAAAATCACACCCCTGTATTTTATAAGGGGCTTTGGCAGTGTACTGGTTAAGGCATATGGCTGCTAACTAAAAAGTCAGTGGTTCAAACCCACAAGCCACTCCATGGAAGAAAGATGAGGCAGTCTGCTTCCATATTTACAGCCTTGGAAACCAATGAGGGTCACTATGAGTCAGAATCAACTTGATGGTAGTGAGTTTGGTTTGGTCTGGTTTATATTGTATTTTATAGCAATACAGGCAAGGCAGATACACTGAGGAAAATACTGAGGATTGTGAAATCCAACAAGGCTTTTCACTTCACATATTTTTCCAATTATATTTGTGGAGAAACTGTAACAGCTCCAAATGAATAGTGACTTAAGCAAAATAGAAGTTGATTTTCTCTTTAAGTAAAAGTCTGATATTTCAGTTCCACAGTCATCCAGATCAAAACTCCTTCTATTTTATTGCTTTGGGTGTCCTTGATAGGTAGCTTCCATCTTGTGGTACAAGACGGTTGCTCTAATCCTGCCATCATATCCACATTCCAGCCAGTAGGAGGGGAAATGGAAAGGGCAAGCACATTCCTTTATGGGAAGACCCAAGGGGTGCACACATTACTTGGACTAACATCCCATCGATTAGACTTGGTCACATAGAGCTGCAAAGGAGTCTAGGAAATAACAGTCTTACTGGGTGGCTATGTGCCAGCTACAATTCTAGAGCCCTATTCCTAGGGGAAGAAGGAGACAGTGGGTAGTGGAGAACAGTTGGTAGTTTCTTCCACATCATGGCATTCTTCCCTATGAGTGTGGAAGTTAAACTGGCTCGATTGTGAAATTCCTTTCTGTTCTAAGTGATGCTCGGAGACCATGTTTTTGTTGTTTCCAGATGATGACTCTGAGACTCCTGAGGAAGTAGAAGAGGAAATCCCTGTGGTGATTTGTGCAGCAGCAGGGAGAATGGGTGCCGCAATGGCTGCCATCAACAGCATCTACAGCAACACCGATGCCAACATTTTGTTCTATGTTGTTGGACTCCGGAACACTCTATCTCGAATACGGTAATTTGTGTGTTGTAGACTTTAGGGGTTTCTATTTTTGTTTAATGTTCCTTATCTTTCCCTAAAAGTATATCCTTCTTTTTTGGTTTGATAAATGTCATTAGAATTGATGAGGAAGTGGCTTAAGGTCTGTGTGGTGGTGACCTAGCAAACATGTGGCCTAGATAAGGAAATTTCTGCAGACTCTCATTAATCTGCTATGGAAATGCATCTTTCTGTAGAAGCAAATTGTCTAACAAACCAAATAACCCAAACCCTAAACTCAAAATTAAAAAACTCACTGCTGTCAAGTCGGATACAACTCATAGCGACCCCTCCTTGGGTTTCTGAGGCAGTATCACTATGGAAGTAGATTGCCCAATCTTCCTTCCGAGGAGTGGCTGGTGGGTTTGAACCACCAGCCTTCTGGTTAGCAGTCAAATGTCTTAGGCACTATGCCACCAAAACTCCCAGATCCTGAACTAGCTTATATGAAAAATATTTATTTCTCAAATAGTTTCTCTTTTCTTTGCTTTCTTAACCTGTGAGCAAGTCATAGAAGAAAAACTATAAATTGTCAATAAATATGAAATATGTTAATACGAATTAACACAATGGCATATAATTATTCACCTGTTTGATTGGTAATAATTAAGTAGATTGACACTATCAGGTGCAAAAAAATGGACATATTAATTCCTATTATACAGAATGTATACTTCATAAATTAGAAGAGCATTTTGAGAAGGCAGTATGAAAATATCAAAATGTGGCATGTACTTATAATGTGACTCACCATTTTCACTTCTAGGAATCTGTGCTCTAAAAATCGTAGCACATGTTGTCAAAATGTTATGTAAAATGATGTTAATTTCAGCATCATGTGAAATAGTAAAAAATGGAAATGTGCTTAAGTGTCCAATATGGTGAAATGTTTAAATGAATGATGGAATATGATTCAGCTATTAAAAAAATAAGTCTATCTGTATACACTGACAAAGAAAATCTTCAAGGTATATTGTTAAGTGGAAAAAGCAAGCTGTAATACAATTCATAGAATATGACCCACTTTAAGAAAATAAAACCCCAAACTATAAATGTGTACAATTATATATGTATGTATCACCCATCCATCCATCCAGCTGCATTTCTGCAAAGCAAAATAACTGGGAAAACACCAAATTGTTAACAGTGCCTATTTTGGGGGGGCGTGGAAGGGAGGGACTGGAGAGTGCAGTGGTGTGGGAGAACTTAAGGTATTTCTGTGTAATTTCCATCATTCATAAGGAGAATGTATTCATGTATGCTTTGGCACAAATGTTTAAGCACTTGGCTACTGAAAAAAAAGGTGGCTGTTCGAGTTCAAGCAGAGGCACCTTGGAAGAAAGTTCTGGTAATCTGCTTACAGAAGATCATAGCTACTGAAAACCCCATGAAGCACAGTTCTGCTCTGATACACTAGAGGATAACAACTCAACAGCAACTGATTTGCTTTTTTTCCCCCCATAATTACATCTACTCTTTATCAAGTATCTCGTCTAACATTTCACCTTTATGACAATAGTAAAAAATTTATCCAACTATTTTGCACATTAACAACATATGTAATGAATGCTAGACATACTCAGTAATGAATGCTGAAGTGGTAGGTGAGAGTAATGCTGGCTACGATGGTTAAGGTTGTGTGTCAGCTTGACACATGATTCTCAATGGTTTGGTAGTGACGTAATGATGTAATTTGTCAATAATATAATAATGTAGTCATCCTCCATTTTAGTATAACACTGATTTTTGCATAACAACCTGTTCTTTGGAACCTAACTATGTTGATAGGAAAGGAGTGGGTATACAGTAATGACATCATCAGGAGGAACTGAGATACAGACTTTTGTCTCTCCTCTCCATGGCCATTGGTTGCTGGTGTTTTGAGTATTATGTGTGCTTTCTAGTTTTTGTGTGTGTCATTTCTCACTCTCCTTATATTTGTTGTTGCTTATTGTTTGCTTAGGCTACCATCAACAGCCTTGAGTTATCAGTGGGCTGGAAACCAGACAACCAAACTCATAGATGCTGCTTTATATGAAAGAAGGAACTTTAGTTGTTCTTCCAGTTTCCTGTGGAGATTATCTGGATCTAGGAGAAAATTTGGTTATTACAATTTTGCTTTATTTCCTTTGCTGTAAGAGTTAGATGAATGAAAAAGGAAAATATTTGAAGCCAGATGAGATGGGAAAAAAAATCAGGAGGACTTACAGACTAAACTCTACTGAGATTTCACATCTTTTAACTTCCTGAGAAGGCAGCATAAAGTTTTGGGGGCCTGACACTCCCGTGCAGGGGACCAGGGTTCAATATTTGGCCAGTCCACCTCTGCTCAGTCACCACCTGTCTGTGTAGAGGCTTGGTATGTTGCTGTGATGGGAAACTTGTGCACGGGGTTACCAGGAGTCTGAGGCGACTCCATGACAGCTAACAGGGAGGCAACCAATTGACCCTGAAGCAATAGAGTTTTGTTTGTTTGTTGTTTCCTCTCTTTAGAAAATGGATCGAACATTCTAAACTGAGAGAAATAAACTTTAAAATTGTGGAATTCAACCCTGTGGTCCTCAAGGGGAAGATCAGACCCGACTCCTCAAGGCCTGAACTGCTCCAGCCTGTGAGTAGGAGTCACGCATATGCTGGGGAAACTCCTTGGTGAGACCTTTGTTAAGTGTGGAAATGTCCTTGAAAGACCATTCATTGGGATGTAGATGGAATATTTCTGATGCCTCACAATGTTACATCTCCCCTAAACTCTGCTTACTTATAATTTATAGACAAGCTGCTGCAGAAAGGATGTAGGATGGCTTATATAAACATACTGAAGTTATTAAAGAAGAAATGAAGCATACAGACATGCATTAAGTATGTGAATATGTCTGTGGGGTGAGGCAAGTAGTAAGGATAGGGACAAACATTCCAAACACATAGGCTGTCTACCTACCGTGCACACTGAATTTAGCTCTGGGTATCCCAGCGTTGAAGGAAAAACGAGAGCATGATGGACCATATATTTCATACTATCAAATAAGATAATATTTTCAGGAGACACCAGTTTTTTGTTTTTTTTTTCCTAGCGTTGGACAGCTTAAAGTATTTCATTGCAAAAGTTCTTTCCAGTGTTTTTTGATGACAGCTTTACAGAAAATGCAACCACCTTCTACACGATTGTTATTCAAATCCATCCTTGAAAATTGACTAAATTATAAGCCTCCTGTCTAATGATATTGGTATTTTCCCAGTCCCAGGTATTTATTGTCAGAACGGGAGCTGAGTTAGGACTTAGGATGAAATGGTGTTCTCACTAATAAAAATGGCACTCCCACCCTTAGCTCACACTCCTCTGACCTTTTTTTGGTTCTGGGAGCTAAAGACAAGTCGGCTTGGTGCTAGGATGATGTGTGCACATGTGTGCATGCGTGCGTGTTTAAGGCAATTTAGTTGACATTCATCAAAATTTCTCAATGTAAAGGGAGGCAGGTGATCTCTGGCCTAGAAGATTGGCCGTGAAGCCTCTGTGACTCCCACCGCTGTTCACAGGGAATGGAAAAGGCCTCTGCAGGGGTGTGGTTTGGACCGAGCAGAGCCATTGACCTGGCAGTGCGGTTCTCAGCCCCACAGACCAGCACCAGGAAGCTCAGCGAGGCATCCTTGCAGCCACCCGTTTGACTCTGCTCCAAACCAGGAGCTGAGCAGAGGCCAGGGCCAAAGCGGACTCCCAAGAACCCTTGGAAGACACTGAGCCATATGCCTCTGCGTCACCATTGTCTCTTTTGTTAACAGTTGAACTTTGTTCGATTCTATCTCCCTCTGCTTATCCACCAACACGAGAAAGTCATCTATGTGGACGATGATGTCATTGTACAAGGTATACGCGGTGACTGTCTCCCTTCATTTTTCCAAATAGTTGCCCATTGATTTTGATGGCTTATTAAAAGTTTTGAGTACCATATTGTTTAAAACTTGGGAGTATTCCAAAAGCAGGGGTTGATACTCATTTCCCTGGACCATCATTCGACTTTCTGAGGGACAGATCTCTGACTGTCAAAGTCGGCAATAAATAGCTTGGCAGCCTTTCCCTGCTCTGCATCCCTGACACATGGGGAATAAAGTCTGACTGATGGCATTCTTTGTAGTGAGCTAAGTTTTGGTGTTTAAATGTTGCAGTCTCTCTCTCCCACATGCAAATAGGATTTCATTGGTATGGTACCTATATAGCAACAGAAATAAGAACATCTGACCAATGCTGAGCTGAATTTATTAGCAAGTAGGCTTTGACATGAGCTCTTCTGATTAATTGCCAAGCTACTTGAAATCAAGGATCCTATCTTAGAATTTTCTACTATAGCAAAATCAGGGACTGTCTACTCTACTCACTGCTGTTGAGTAGATTCGACTCATAGCGACCCCTGCTTGGGTTTCCAGGGTGGTATCTCTACGGAAGTAGATTGCCCAACCTTCCTTCTGAGGAGTGGCTGGTGGGTTTGAACCACCAGCCTTCTGATTAGCAGTCAAATGCCTTAGGCACTATGCCAGCAGAGCTCCCTAGAGACTGTCTAGCTCTAACTAAAACAAATGCTGTACTATTTTAACTTCTGGCATTTCTAAATGCAGGTGATATCCAAGAACTCTATGACACCACTTTGGCCCTGGGCCACGCAGCAGCTTTTTCGGATGATTGCGACCTACCCACCACTCAGGACATAACTGGACTGGTGGGGCTACAGGTGGGCAGTCTCTCTGGAATCCCACCTTCATCTACCGCACTCTTCCCCTCTCCTCTCCTTCCCCACCACTCAAAATGTGTGATGTGTACACCTTTAAGAGTCCTGATGGTCAATGTGGACTGCTGGGAGGGTTAAGAACCTGGGCTTTGGTTTCAAACTCCAGCTCCACCCCTTACAGACTATGGGGCAAGTTACTTAACCCTGCAATTTCCCACTTCCTTTATCTGGAAAAGGCAACAACAGTATTTATGTAGTTGTGTTTGTGTGAGTTAGGATGAAATGCGGCTGCTGTTGGGTACCACGGAGTCGGTTCTAAATAATAGCAACCCCATGTGTGATGATAGAACTGCCTCATAGGGTTTTGTAGGCTGTAATCTTTACAGGAGCAGATCTCCAGGTCTTTTCTTCTGTGGACCCACTGCTGGGTTTGAAAAGCCAACCTTCTGATTAGCAGCTGAGCAATTAACCATTGCACCACCAGGGCTCCTTATGATGAAATAACATGCTGTGAAAATGTCCAGCATGAAGTAAATGCTCCAGAAACAAGGTTGCACATAACCACACTCTATGGCAAAGATGGTATTTTCTGTAAAAGGGCCCATCATTGAACTTTGGTTCTGCTTTCAGAGTTTCGGTAATTTTTTTTTTCCTTTCTTTCTGTAGAGGAAACGTTTCTGTAGAGGAAACAATTGATTTTGTTCAAGGGTAAAGATCTCTTTGTTGTTGTTTTTGTTATTTGCCATCGAGTCAGACTCGACTCATAGCGACCCCTCCTTGGGTTTCCAAGGTAGTATCACTATGCAAATAGATTGCCCCATCTTCCTTCCGAGGAGAGTGGCTGGTGGGTTTGAACCGCCAGTCTTCTGGTTAGCAGTCAAGTGCCTTAGGCACTACGCTACCAGAGCTCTTAAAGATCTCTTTATGTTGGTGGAAACGAGGAAAGGTGAACATAAATGTAAAATTGAATTTTACAAAATGCCTTTAAAATACAAGGTGTTATTAAGAATTGAATGCTGTTATTTAACAAAAGTTCCAGCGAAGAATTTCATATCTATAACACTTAAGATGAGTCACACTTTAAAGCCTAGGTTCTGGGACCAGACCCGACTTTGCCTAAATCTTCGCTCCATTATTAGCTTTGTGACTTTGGGCAGGTTACTTAACTAATTCTCTTTCTGCTTCCTCATTTGCCAAATAAAGATAATTATAATACTTTCCTTGTAGGGTTATTGTGAGGATTAAGTAAGTTAATATATGTAAAGTTATTTCATGCAATTAATGAGATAATGCATGTAAAAATTCCTAGACTAGTGCCTGGCACATAGAAGGTGCTCAAATGTTTGTATCACTTCTGTGTCATATTTGAATATCACATTGAGGTAGGTTATGACAGCCTATGTAGGTAAACCAGTATGTCCATTCATTCAATGACTTACTGAGTGTTTAGTATGTGCAAGGTACTGGTAATGCAGTAAACAAAATAAAAATTCTCATCTTTGTGTAGCTTACATTCTAGTGGTCAGAGACAGATAGTAAACAACTAAATAAAATATTTAATAGGGAATCAAGATGGAGGTGGGGTTTTGCATTTTAAACAGGATGGTAAGGGAAGGCACCACTGAAATGGTGAGACTGAGGGAAGCATCTATGCAGGCATTTAGAGGAAAAGTGTTCAGGAAGAGGTAACAGCAGGTGTAAAAGATCCCGAGGCAGTCTACACAGGGGGAAGTGTGCCTATGACCACGTATAGGGTTGGCAGACAATGTTTCTACAAGTGTATTTATATGTTCTGTAAGAATGTCCAGGTACACAGTAGAGCCAACAAGGGACAAGGTTGTAGTAACTTCTTGGCCACAGCCAGCTACCTAGAGGGAGCGAGTAGTTGGACCTGTGGGCTTGGGACCATGGTCACAGGGGACATCAAGCTCAATTGGCATAACATACTAGACAAAAATATTGTTCCACATCCTACTTTGGTGAGTAGCAACTGGGATCTTAAAAGCTTGCAAGTGGTCATCTAGATGCAACCATGGCTCTCTTCGTCCAGAGCAAAGAAAAATGAAGAAAACCAAAGATGCATGGAAACAATTAGTCCAAGGGACTGTTACACCATGCGATCCTCAGCCTATATGACTATTAGACCAGAAAAACTAGATGGTGCTCGGCTACCACTGTCAACTACTCAGAGGGGGATCTATGTAGGAGATTCTGGACAGACTGGGAGAACAATGTGGAACAAAACTCAAAATCATAAAAAAAAAAAAAAAAAAAGTGACCAGGTTTGCTGGTCTGATAGAGCCTAGTAAAACCCCTGAGGCTATGGTCCTTAGCTGTCCTTCAGGCCTGGAATTGAACCCACTCCTGTGGCTTTCAGCCAAACAAAAGACAGGTGTATGAGCTGAACATTTACATTAGGTAGATAACACTTCTCGGAGAGATTAATCATGGGAGAATAGAAGGGCTGTATATGCATAGGGAGACAGCTTGGGGGACAGGAGTGCGTGGGAAGGAAGGACACAGAGAAGAGGCAACTATGAGGAGGAAGTGGGAAGAGCTATTGCATTGTGGGAAACTGCAGTCAACGTCATGAGACAAAGCATATGTGAACTGCTATATGGAAAATGAATTTGCTCTGTAAACTTTCACCTAAATCACAATAAAAGTTAAAAAAATAAAAATAAGATCCTGAGGCAGACGTACGTCTGGTGTATTAAAGGAACAAGGAGGTCAATGTGGCAGAGGGATTAAAGGGAGAATAGCCAATGAAGTCAGACAGGTAAAGAGCCAATGAAGTCTGAGAGGTAAAGAGGTAACGGAGGACCAGGTGGTCTAAGGCATGGTAGGCTACGTTAGGAGCCCTGGCTTTTACTCAAAATGAATTGGGAATCCGTTGGAGGGCTTTGAGCAGAGGAGTGACATAGAGTCAGGGTGGGGTTGAGAAGGGTGGAAGCAGGAGCACTGATCAGAGGGATCTTGCAGAAATCCAGTGAGAAGTGATTAATGGCCTGGGCCAGTGAGGTAGGAGAGGAGGCAGTGAGAAGTGGATAACTTCTGCGTATGTTCTGAAGGGAGGACCAACAGAATTTGCTGGCTGATTTGGATGGAGTGAGGAGTCAAGGATGATCCATTGATCTTGGGTTTTTTGCCCATGTAACCACACGGCCAGAGTTGCCACTAACTGAGGTGGGGCAGGTTGAAGGGAAGGTTTGAGGACCGGCTTGGGATCAGTTTTGGGATGTTAAGTTGAAGCTGCCTTATAAAGCTGCCTTATCAAGGACACACTGAGTAAACAGATGGAGCAGGAGTTGGAAGTCCAGAGGAGAGATCAGGGCTGTCAACATTGATGATATCGAGAGCAAGGAGACTGGAATGAGGCTGCGCAGGAAGCCAGTGCTAGAGAAATGAGCGGCACTTAGTATTACAGAGGTTGGGAAAAGGAAGGGCACCCATCAAAGGACATAAGAAGTGGCCAGTGGCACAGGAGGAAAACCTGGAGATACCGCATAATCCCTTCAAGAAAATGGTAATTTTTCCAGACACAAAAGTTTTAATAAGATACATTGGTCAGAAGTATGCCTATCCTGTTCCTTTGTAGAATACATACATGGGATATCTGGATTACCGGAAGAAGACCATAAAAGACCTTGGCATTAGCCCCAGCACCTGCTCTTTCAATCCTGGTGTGATTGTTGCCAACATGACAGAGTGGAAGCACCAACGTATCACCAAACAACTGGAAAAATGGATGCAAAAAAACGTGGAGTATGTGCAGACCACCCTAACATTTTCTCCAAGCCTGAACAGAAAATTATTCCATTTAATTTTCTATGCATAGTTCAGAGGTTAGAATATTATTTCATAGACATCTTAGGTCTGATTTTCTTAGAGGCACCAGCAAGAATGAAAAGGGAGCAGATGAAACTCTATTATCAAATAATATAAATCAGAGAAATCGAGAGAGCTGGTGGAATAAGAATTCCCTTATTAAACAAGCATTTTCCTCATAAATCTGAGTTCAATAACTCAGTCAGTAACTCCCAGGATCCTAGTATACTTTTCCACTGTAAGTCAAGTTTCTCCTTCTTACCTGATTTAAGGATTGTTTTGTGAAGTCAACTCTTTTTTTGTAGCTCAGTTTTTTAAAAATGTGTGATTTTTCATGATAGAAGTTTCAATGTTGAGAAAATAAACGAACACGGCCACTATTTTCATGTCATTGTACTTCCTATCGGTCTGTGTTCCTCTGGAGTTATAACACCATTGTGACCTTGAATACATGATGAGATAATTCTAATGTATTAATAATTAATCAGAATTTGATCTTCTATGTTTGATAAAAATCCCTGAGTTTTAAAATGGCAAAATATTAACTGTGAAACTAAGTGAGGTACATGGGCACTCACAGGGTTAGTCTTCCAACTTTGTGTAGGTTTGACATTTTTCAAAGGAAAAAGAGAAGAAAATGAAACAGTGACAGAATGTCTCACATCTTTTTCAAGTATCAGACCCTGTTTTATTTGAGATTGTGGGCACTCCGTGCCTTATCACTGTTCCATTTCTTTTCTTAGGGAAAACCTCTACAGCAGCTCCCTGGGTGGAGGGGTGGCCACCTCTCCAATGCTGATTGTGTTTCATGGGAAATACTCCGCAATCAACCCTCTGTGGCACATCCGGCATCTGGGTAAGTATTTTAGAAAAAACAATTAATTGTACATTTTATAGCAGCATGGTGAAGAGTGCTACAGAACCAAGTTCCTGAATTCAAATCCACCTGGTGAACTTGGAGGAGTTATTTAACCCCTCAGTGTCCAAAGTCCTCAAATGGAGAAGATTTAGTGCTTACCTCAAGGGCTCATTTCTAGGAAGGCATGAAAAGCAATTAGACTAATGCCTAGTGTATGGTATGTGTTCAATAAACACCAGCTATCGTTATGACAGAACTTTCACTGTGAAAACTTCTTCTCTTGCCTTTACTTGCAGTAGCCCAGAGTGGAACAAAACCAAATGAAGTAGCATAATGACTTATGATGACTTAGGTAGCTGGCACCAATTTTTTAAAAAGCAGTGGTTATGAGCTGCATAATCTGTATGAGTCCTTATTTATTCACTACAGAGTGCAGGCTCCACTGTACAGTTACCTACGATCCTGGGCAAGTTAGTAAAGCCCTCTGTGCTTCAGTTTCCTAATTTGTAAACTGAAGCTGATAGACCTTAGGAAGTTTTCATAAGGAATAAATTACCTAATACAAGATGAACAAATCTGTTGTGGACTGCAGCCAGAATTCTCATTGGAAGCTAGGTCAGATTTCATCTCTTGTATTTTGGTCATGGTATCAGATAGGACCAGTCCCTGGAGAGGGATGTCATGCTTGGTAAAGTAGTTATTATTGTGAGGTGCCATTAGTCGGCTCTGACTCACAGCGACCCTATGTGCAACAGAACAAAACACTGCCTGGTCATGCGTCATCCTTACCATCATTCCTATACCTAAGCCCACTGTCGCAGCCACTCCATCCTGTTGAGGGTCTTTCCTTTTTTTGCTGATCCTCCACTTTACTAAGCATGATATCCTTCTCCAAGGAATGGTTCCTCTGACAGGGTGACCAAACTAGGTGAGACAAAATCTGGGCATTCTCACTTCTAAGGAGCATTCCGGCTGCACTTCTTCCAGGACAGATTTCTTTGTTCCTCTGGCAGTCCATGGTATTTTCAGTAGTTTTCTCCAACACCACACTTCAAAGGCATAAACTCTTCTTTGGTCTTCCTTATTCACTGTCCAGCTTTCACATGCATATGAGGCAAATGAAAATACCATGGTTTGCGTTAGGTGTACTTTTATCTTCAAAAGTGTCATTTTTGCTCTTCAACATTTTAAGAGGTCTTTGCAGCAAATCTGCCCAGTGCAATATGACGTCTGAAGTCTTGAGTGCTGCCTTCATGGATGTTGATTGTGGATCCAAGTAAAATGAAATCCCTGACAACTTCAATCTTTTCTCCATTTATTGTGATGTTGTTTATTGGTCCAGTTGTGAGGATTTTTGTTTTATGTTGAGGTGTAATCCACACTGAAGGCTGTAGTCTTTGAGCTTCATCAGTAAGTGCTTCAAGGCATCCTCACTTTCAGCAAGCAAAGCTGTCTCATCTGCATACTGCAAGTTGTTAATGGTTCTTCCTCCAAACCTGATGTTGCATTCTTCATATAGTTCAGCTTCTTGGATTATTTGCTCACCATACAGATTAAGTTATGTGAAAGGATACTACCCTGACACACAACATTGCTGATTTTAAGCTATGCAGTATCCCTTGTTCTGTTTGAACGACAGCCTCTTGGTCAATACACAGATTCCTCATGAGCACAATTAAGTGTTCTGGAAATCCCAGTTTTTGCAATATTATTCATAATTTGTTATGATCCACACAGCTGAATGCCTCTACATAGTCAATAAAACACAAGTAAACATATTTCTGGTATTCTTTGCTTTCAGCCAAGATCCATCTGACCTCAGCAGCGTTCTCTCTCATTCCACATCCTCTTCTGAATCCAGCATGCATTTCTGGAAGTTCCCTGTCAATATACTGCTGCAACCAGTATACTGAGTTATCTTCAGCAAAATTTTACTTGTGTATGATATTAATGATACTCTTTAATAATTTCCACATTCTCATTCTGTTGTACCTTTCTTTCAAGTAGGCATAAATATGGATCTATTCCAGTCAGTTGGCCAGGTAACTGTGACACCAAATTACTTGGCATAAACGAGTTAGTACCTCCAGTGCTATATCCATTTGTTGAAAACATCTCCGTGGGTATTCCGTCAATTCCTGGAGCCTTGTTTTGTGCCACTTCCTTCAGTGCAGCCTGGACTCCTTCTTTCAATACTATTGGTTCTTGATCATATGCTACCTCCTCAAATAGTTGAACTTCACCCAATTCTTGTTGGTATAGTGACTCTATGTATTCCTCCCATCTTCTTTTGATGCTTCCTGCATCATTCAATATTTTGGTCATAGAATCCTTCAACACTGCACCTCAAGGCTTGAATTTTTTCCTCAGTTCAGCTTGAGAAATGCAGAGCATGTCCTTCCCTTTTGGTTTTCTAAATCCAGGTCTTTGCACATTTCATTATAATAATTTACTTTGTCTTCTTGAGCTGCCCTTTGAAATCTTTGTTCAGCTCTTTTACTTCATTTCTTCCATTTACTTTAGCTACTCTTTGCTCAAGAACGAATTTCAGAGTCTCTCCTGACATCTACTCTGGTCTTTTCTTCCTTTCCTCCTTTTAATGACCATTTGCTTTTTTCATGTGTGATGTTCTTAATATCATCCCACAACTCGTCTTGGTCATTGGTATTCAATGTGTCAAATCTGTTCTTCAGATGGTCTCTAAATTTAGGTTGGATATAATCAAGGTCATATTTTGGATCTTGTGGACTTGTCTTAATTTTCTTCAACTTCAACTTGAACTTGCCTAGAGCAATTGATGGTCTGTTCCACAGTCAGCTCCTGGCCTTGTTTTGGCTGAAGATATGGAGCTTCTTTCTCCTTTGCTTCTTTCCACAGATGCAGTTGATCTGATTCCTGTGTATTTCATCTGGTGAGCTCCATGTGTATAGCTGCCATTTATGTTGTTGAAAAAAAGGTATTTGTAATGACTAAGTCATTTGTCTTACAAAATTCTGTCATGTGATCTCTGGCATCATTTCTGTCAGCAAAGCTGCATTTTCCAACTACTGGTGATTCTTCTTTGTTTCCAACTTTCATATTCCAATCACCAGCAAGAATCAATACATCCTGACTGCATGTTTAGTCAATTTTTAACTCCAAAGTGGGTAAAAATCTTCAATTTCATCTTTGACTTTAGTAGTTGGTATGTAAATTTGAATAACTGGTTTTATCTGGTCTTCCTTGTAGGCATATGAATATTATCCTATCACTGACAGCACTGTACTTTAGGATAGATCTTGAAATGTTCTCTTGGACAATGAACATTAGGCCATTCCTCTTCAGTCTATCATTCTTGGACTAGCAGACCATATGATTGTTGTGGTTCAAAATGGCCAATACCAGCCCATTTAAGGTCACTAATGCCTAGGATATCAACCTTTATGCATTCCATTTCATTTTTTACAATTTCCAATTGTCCTGGATTCATACTTTGTAAATTCCATGTTCAGATTATTAGTGGCTGTATGCAGTTGTTTCCTTCCATTTTGAATAGTGCCCCATCAGCAAATGGAGGTCCCAAAAGCTTTACTCCATTTATGCCATTAAAGTCAACTCTACTTTGAGGAGGCAGCTCAACTTCTGGCACTGTGTGAGACAGTGGTTCAGAGCTATTCACAAAGTTTTCCAGTAAAATATCAGATGGATTCACTGCTATTCATAAAGTTTTCACAGACCAATTTTTTTTTTTTTAAATATGTAAGTGGATGGACCCATCCTTCTTCCCAGTCTGTCTTAGTCTGGAAGTTCTGCTGAAACCTGTTTGCCATGGGTGAGGTTGCTGGTATTTGATGTATCGATGGCATAGCCTCTAACCTCACAGCCAACACACAAGCCACCTAAGTATGACAAACTGACAGACGAGTGGTGGTAGAGGGTCAGTGAAAAAGGAGAAGACCCTCAATGAGATGGATTAACATTGTGGCTGCCAACAATGGGCTCAAACATAGCAACAACAGTGAGGATGTTACAATACTGGGCAGTGTTTCATTCTGCTGTACAAGGGGTCTGTAAGTCAGAACCAACTTGATGTCAATTAACAACAATACATGTAAATTGCTAGAGTCTGACACAGAATATACACTCACAGTCATCCACACTGTTATCCAAAAGCACTGGACTATACCCATTTAGAAATTTAGAAATGTTTCAACTTAAAAAAGGTAATGTGCATACATTCTATTATGCAGTACTCTCAGTGGGGTCTGAGCTATTTATAGCCCATAATTCATTTTTGTAGCATACTGTGTGACTGTGTGATAAAGACCATAAATACTTTGTTAATTCATATTCAGATCTCAGTGCAAAGGAGTTACTAAAAAACCTTGTTTCCACAGTTTTGAAGACTATTTTAGAATTGGAGACAATGGATTAGGACTTGTATTTACCAAGTGCCCAGTACATGACCAAGAACTGGACTAGATCTTAATACACTTCTAGGAGAGTATTCTAAACATATTCCGAGCAATGGCAGTATTAGTGTAAATGCATAATTTCTTAAAGAGATTATTAGTAATAGGAGTAACAATCAAATGGGAATAGCTATTAAAAAAAGCAGATCTTATTCTTAGTCACATTAAATATGGTAAAAACAAGACCTTTTTCAAGAAAATGTTACTATTATAAACACAAACTGTAGAAAAACAAGAACTCCTATAAATTCTTGGTGGGAGGATAACCTAATACAAACTTCTTTGGGGACAATTTGGCAGTATCTATCACAATTAAAAGGCACACAACACCCTTTATTCCATCAGTTTCACCTATTCTACCCTACAGATGTATTTGCATACATACAGAGGACATATGCAGAAGACTGTTCATTGTAGTGTGTATGTTTATGAAGAGAGAGAAACAATCAAAATGTCCATAATACATAATCATATAGCCATTCTATGTAGTCATTAAAAATAAGATAGTAAGTTCACATGTAGTGTTACAGAAAGTTCCTGGGGCAGTCAATTAAAAAGGCAAGGTAGCAGAAACCCTGTGTAGTATGCTATTTTGTCTTCTCTCTCTTTAAAAAAAAAAAAAAGAGAGCGTGTGTGCATGTTTATATAAACACATATACTTAGGGAGAACATTAATGGAGGGAGTTATGAAGAACTGTTCAGCTGTGATTGCTTTGGAGACCTGAGTTGGGTGAAAATTTTTCATTGTCTATCCTTTTGATTTCTTTTTTTTTCTTTTTATCATGAACTTGTATTTCATTTTTAATATGAAATTTTCATTCTCTAACAAGCCTGTTTTCCTCTCAACATTGTCCAAAGGCTGGAATCCAGATGCCAGGTACTCAGAGCATTTTCTACAGGAAGCTAAGCTGCTCCACTGGAATGGAAGACATAAACCCTGGGACTTCCCAAGTGTCCACAATGACTTATGGGAAAGCTGGTTTGTTCCTGACCCTGCAGGGATATTTAAACTCCATCACCACGACAGCTGATACAACTTGGTATTTTAAATATTTCCAGTGTAAAAATATGGCATTGACCATGTGTGCTGACCATAACACTGTTCTTTATGAATACATATGATCCATACTAGAAAACAAAAAACCTACTTTGTACAGATTTTAAAAACAAGACCCTTTAGGAAGAAAAAGTTAACACATAAGGAGATAAACTTCAGAGAAATAAGAACTATAAACTCTTCGTGGGAAAATAAACAACTTATTTGGATCAATAGCTGATACAACTCTACATTTTAAGTATTTCCTGAAGAAAAATGGAGAACTATCTGTGCCTAATATGACATTGTTCCTTATGAACAGTCCTTGATGCATACTAGAAAACAATAATAAAAAAAAAAAAAACTGTGTACAACTGTAACTTGGACCATTCAGGCATTGATTTATTTCCAGAAGTAAAAGTGGTGCTTATGGAAAACAACATTTTGTGAGTGAAATACATTGTTGGACAGAAGTAATCCTATCTAGGTATCAGTTTGCTTAACTTAAATAATTAGACTCATAAGTTTTTTAAATTTCCAATGAAGTTATTTTTAAGTGTATTTTTACATTCAAATATTTTCTCAAGTAGGTGCCAATACTGTCTTTCATAGAACTATTACGTTTAAAAATGAATGTCTAAAAAAAAAATCAAATATTCATAGACCTTATTTTCATTCTATTACACGTTAATAACAGAAAGTAAATTGATCTCAGGCTTCAAGGGAAAAGAAAAGGCCTGCAACTTAAGGATAACCAGTATTCTTTATTGAAAAATCATCAGACTTACAAATGAATTTAAAAACCTTTTCAATGTTATTTAATGAAAAAGTTTCATACTGTCATGTACATGATAAGTCAACATGTACTACTCATTTGTATTGTTTAATGAAAAACATTATTATTTTATACTTGGAAAATGTTCAAACCCATTTGCTAGTGAGTGCCTGTCATAATTTAAAGGGTATTTTCCACACTCAAAAAAAAAAAAAAACAAACCTGTTGTAAAGCTACAATAGTTATATATCAAAGCAAACCCTAGTTACATGCTCTACATGTTCCCATGAAAAAATAATTCAATTGCTCCTAATCCCTGATGCCAGGCACTTCAAAGCACCCACACAAAACATCCCTGTAAACAGCAGTACAGTACAGCATTTAAATAACATGAATGACTTTTACACAGCTCGACCTAGACTTACGAGTTCTATCATAGCCACAGCTAAAAAACATGTTTAGATTCACAACAAGAATTTGTTTCTCTTATTACAAAGAGAAGAACAAAGCCTTCTAATTTCTGGGGGAATAGGGGAGGACCCTCATAAATATTTCATATTGAAAAACAGCATGCTCCAAGGGTATGTCTGAAATCAGAATATTCAGTTAATTAGGAGTGACTGCAAACGGCATCTGAATACCCAGTTGTAAGATCCACCAGACCTAGTAGTTCTGCACTATTTGTTGTTGCTGTTGTTATATGCCGTGGAGTCACACCTGACTCACAGCGACCCCTCCTTGGGTTTCTGAGGCAGTATCATTATGGAAGTAGATTGCCCAACCTTCCTTCCGAGGAGTGGCTGGTGGGCTTGAACCACCAGCCTTTTGGTTAGCAGTCAAGTGCCTTAGGCACTATGCTATCAGAGCACCATGAAAAAATGCATTGGAAAATCACAAATGTACATAATTCAAACTAACCTTTCCATGAGGTTCACTTAGTCCACAGTAACCAACAGCAATAATGTAGAGAATTTTTTAAATTACTGGCTTATTAGATTTACCTAGCAAGGAAAATTCTGTATTATTTATTTTATGTACATTTCACATACATAAAGCACCAATTTAAATATGATTATCAAACACCTCAAGCATCTTCTTGATCAGCCTGAAAGTTCATTTTTTACCACTTCCCATGTCATATCCACAAAACCAAAGAGAGCAAATCAGAACAGTGAGAGACACTCAGAGAGACATTCAGTGCCTTCTCCATCAACTTCAGTCTCTCAAGTAAAACACAGAAGAACTGACAAAATTTAAAAGGTTTTACTGCATTCTCTAGAACTTGCCATCCCAACAGAATAGTTTTCTGCCTGCTACAGAATTAACAGACAGGGGTGAAGCCAAAGCCAGGGCTCAATACCCTGCCAGGTAAGACCAGCTTAGCACTGCTGCTCAAGGCCACACTCTACGTTTCTCCTAAGCAACTCTCACAAACGCTTACCATTGGTAAAGTGAAGAGGTCTGAGTGTGTACATGACTCAGGGAACCATCAAACACCTCTGAAAATTACCAATGAGATTCCATTGAGAGTTAGCTTCATATATGAAAACCAACATATTGTCTCTTTACCAGTGATAACTCTTATTATTAGCATGCCCTTCTTAGGCATAATAAGGATAATGGTGTATCTAGGTTTATGCACAGTAAGTTAAAAATCAACTATAAATATTCAGACTCTTCCATTTAAATATTACAGATTAAAAGTGACTCGCAAAAAAAAAAAAAAAAATCATCATCAATGAAATACAGTTTATAAAAAACCGGAATGATGGTTAATTCAAATATAAAAACTCATATGCAAAAAAGTCTACTTCTTTCTTCCAAACTACCAAGTTCATACAGCTGATTCTATCACACACCTGTTCTATACTGTGACTGTACACAGAAGTAAGATACTAGTACTTCAGTTAGCAAACTGAGGTCTACTTCTTGACCACTGCATTAAAACTGCAGCATTTAAGCAGAGTTGAGAAATACCATCCTTAAGCATGGCTTCCTTCTTCCTGTGCTTGCGCCCTACAGTGATTATTGAGGGAAAGAATCTGGTCTGTAAATGACTGGGTCGTCCACTGCCCATTGGGAATGTCACTCAAAGATGATTCTCCATGTAATTCCGCACTGTCAGCTGCTGGGAGGGATCAGGAAGAAGGGTGTTAGTTTATTCTGATTAAATGTTTCAAATGATCAAATTAGAAGTTTTGATTTTTCTATCCCAAGCCCACAGGCCCAGAGACTCACTCCCTCAAGGTGCTTAGTTGTGGCTAAGAAGTTATCCTGACTTTGTCCCATTAGCTTTATACTGCATATAGACATTTTTATAGCACATGCTAATACATATGTAGGAATATCATTCTGCCAAACCTGTGTATGGTCATGGGTATATTCCTGTTTGCCTACCCATACCTGATCTTCTTGCCTCTCTACCTATGTATCTACCCATAGATTACTGTTTGCTGTTACCGATCATGTGGTATTGTGTATGCAACAGTATTTACCTTTATTTTTATTGTGTGTACCTCTTACACACTTCTCCATGTCTTCCTTTGCCTTAATGATATTATGCTGGTCACATGCTTTTGTCATATTGCCTTTCCCTTCACCCAACTCAACACCCATCTCCTAACCATCAATATCCCCCCCGCCTTCCTATCTACCAACAAAGAAAATGTCCTTCCCTATGCAAACCTTTCCTTGACGTTTTATATTAAGGGACTCATACACTATGTCAAATCAGAAGATTTTAACAGTCCACTGAAGGAGAATTGTTACTAAAATAGCTAAACTTCTTGAATGGAATTAGAAGTCTGTATTCTCTTTGCAGATACAGGACTTATAAATTCTCATCTGTTATTCCAGGAGGAAAATGCAACTAGAAGGACTTAAGGACTTAGTGATTTAAGGACAATGAAGCTGTAGAACTCTGTGTAACTAAACATCAAGTTAGCATGAAATGTTCATCAGCTGTCTCTGTTTTCGTATTCCCATTCTTCAGTAATTTACTCAATATACTGACACTTTTTCCCCTCAGTCCTGATAAAGCCAGGTATTTGAAAGGAAAAAACACAGGAACGGGACATACTTAGTCCATTTGGAGAGAAGCTGCATGGTTGACTATTGCACAGATTATCACCATAAGCACCACCATACGCTGCTTCATAACCCGGATCGTACTTTTCTTCCTTAACAGCCATCTTCTTTGCATCCTCTGTGAGGAAAGGAAAGAGAATTTCAATCTGATTTTGTACACTAGTTTTGAAAACAGCTTTATTTAGAAGTCATGATGAACAATTCTTTTTTCTTTTGTTTGCTTTATAGAAACAAATGTTACGTCTCTCAAGTAAAACACAGATAAAATACATCTTTTGCTACAATCTTTAGCTAAATTATCTCACACAAGCTGTAAAAGCCTGGGTTTCATTCTAGGTGGCTACAATGACTCTTAGAGCCTCAGTGTCTGCAAGAGGATTCAGAGTAGATGGAAGACCTTGATATGAGGAGATTGTAATATCCATTATCAAAGCCCTCTGGCTACATATATAATTATATTCTTTTCTCCTGGCTTTTAAATTGCCAACATACTTTCTGTGATATGTATATACACAAAGTGAATCAAAGGCATGAACAGCAACGTACCCTGGGCAAGCTGTAAGTCAAACGTGTACTGCACCTCCTGAACGTCTGTGTTCCGTTCAAGGCCTTTCAACTGATCTCTTAAGTCCTTCAGTTTAATGTAGTAATGAACTTTGTCTTGGGCTCGAGGAAACTGAGCACATCTTGCACTGGATGATGGCATAACATAACACAGCTAGAATCATAAAATGTTAGAGTTACAGGGATCTTACAATTCTATTGAATCCACTCATTATTGGGATTAGAAATATTTTTTAGTTGGGTTACTTATCACATCAATACATGTAAAATAAGAAAGAGTAGTAGTGCTTAAGTTCAAGTCTGTAATACTTATTACAAAGTAAATAAAATAATGAGGTTTCCCCTACCCTGAGTTCATCTATCAATTAACAGTATTTTAAGTAACAAATATGTGGCTCTCAATTTAAAAGGGAATATGGGGTATACAATGAAGAGTCTTCTCTCTCAACCCTGTCCCTAGTCACCTAGGTCCCTTTCCCAAAGGCAATCGAGCAAGGTACAATCAAATGTGTCTTGATATACATTCTCTCTCCCTTTTAAAGAACATGCAAATGGTAACATGTCCTATTCCCTATTCTGTACCTTGCTTTTATCATTCCACAATGTATCTCAGAGATAATTATATGTCAGATACCAAAAAAACCAAACTCAAGGCTGTTGAGTCAGATCCGACTCATAGCGACCCCTCCTTGGGTTTCCAAGGTGGTATCATTACAGAAGTAGATTGCCCCACCTTCCTTCTGAGGAGTGGCTGGTGGGTTTGAACCACCAGCCTTCAGGTTGGCAATCAAATGCCTTACACACTACGCCAGCAGAGCTCCCTCTATGTCAGACAGCGACACCAAAATAAAAAGAGCTCTTTTTTAGACCCATGTGTTAGTTTCATAATTATTTAATCAGAGTCCAACTGTAGAGATTTAGGTTGTTTCCAGTCTTTTGCTATTATAAGTTATAGTGAGTAACATCGTACATATTTAATTTTATGTATGAGTATATCTGCTGGATAAATTCCCAGAACTGGAATGTTGGAAGAGAAAGGCATTTGCATTTATCATTTGATCATGACAAACTGCCCTTCATAGAACTTGTACCAACTGATATCTCCACCAACAACATATGAGAATGAGGCTGCTAGATTATGGGTATTACCTGGAATTTGAAAATTACCTCCACATCATGTATTACAGAAAAAAAAAAATTTTATTTTGTTTTGGTTATGCAGTATGTAGAAAATTTTGATTCATAAAAATATGTAGATGTAAATGGTATCAGGTTTTGTAATAGCATATTTCCCAATCTTAAAGTATTCTTCAATTAAAGTAATCCATAAACTTTAAAAATTAGGAATTTTTTCAAAGTGCAATCATTAACACAATCTATTAACCGTTTATAAACCATGATAATGAGTAAATTTAAAGAGATCAATGTACTTTCAGCTTATAATAAGAAGTATCACGATCATGACATGATTCAGTTTACTGATTCTTGCACTACTATAAGCATAGGCCCCAGAGATACATCTGGCATTTAATGGACAAGTCTGCAGTATGCTACAGAAAGTAGTGAACTCACTTGTACAATTTTACCCTACTAGACAAGGAGAAGCTTTCATTCAAAGACCAGTGCTGCGACCTCTTTTACCAATCACATATTTATTAGAAGTTAAGAACAGAAGACATTTTAAAAGGAGACTTTCAAATGACTGTAGGTGGCAGAAACTTTATTCTGAGGTATCCACAAAAACCTAGCGGCACATAACACATATGTTTGTACGTGTGTGATTTTTAAAATTTTAAGGAAAACTTTAAGAAACAAATTGAACCAAATGCCTGCAGCAGTTCTGCAGAAAGCAAAAGACTGACACCACTGTGTTGGTTTTTATTTCATGCTGCCTTTATGTGTAACAGCACACTAAATGCCAATCATATTAGCTGGATGTCTGCAACTGAAGAGTACTATTCACATGTCTTTAAAATGGAATTGGGATAAGATATACAAACAGGGGGAAAATAACAGTTTTAATAATCAAGCTCATGTCTCTACTTACATGTTTGTTTCACAACTGAGTAAGGGGTTGAATTTGATGCTATTACATGTTTTGAATAGAGTGTGAGTCAACTCCTCAATATTTCAGCCAATTAATATAAGTCATTAAGCCATTTAGCTAACAAATGTTTTAATACTATCTAAATTAAATCTGTAATTATTTCAAGTTATACATGTATTTTATTCAAGAAAATAGTGTGGGTTTTTAATATCACAAATTATAATGGAGAAGACAAAAGGAAAAAGAAAAAAAAAGGAAAAATAGCTAGAAGAAAATTCCTATTCAGCTGATTTACAAATGCATTTTTAAAGACTTACAGTTTCCGTGTCTGGGATCTTATGGGGTTGAAGCCCAAATTCTAAGTTCTTAACCTTTACTCCAAAAACTTCTTTACTAAAAATTTCATAAATACCTAAAATGAAATACAAACATATCTATATTGCCCATAATGTTAGCAAAGAAAAAAACTCGAATTTAAAATAATTCTTACATTTTCCATTAAACACCGCTATTCGTGGCTGATATTTCTGTAATTTCTGCACTAGAATACGTCCTCCTTCACGAAATTCTTTACTAAAATTGAATTAAAAAGTCATCAAAATAGAAATACAACAATGATTATAACATGCTAAGTTCAGGCAGCTTTCAGTAAAAGGTTAAATCACCTATCTGTTTAGTTTCAACTAGATACATATGACAGTTCCTGGAGTATCTGAAGCAGCAGTGTAGCCAAAGTTCCAACTGTTCAAAATAACTTATTACCTGGAGAGATCCTTGCTGCCCGGTGTTGTCCTTTCTACCATATTGGTAAATCCAATACCGTACTTCCCTGGTAAGGTGTGGTCATCCATGTGACTCAGCTGCACCTCACTCAGCCCTGACATAAAAAGACACTTCCCTGAGAAAGAGAGGAGTTTCATTTATTTCTGTGGAAGGTTGAAATAAAAAAACCAAAACTCAAGGCATTTTTAAACTGGTAACACAGGCCAAACACTGTATTGAGCAGTTAATACATAGTGGGTACTATGCTAAGCCTCTTACAGTATGTCCCAAGTTATGAACACCTGACTTCTCTACAACTTGTACTTGCCCTTTAACGTTAATTAAATCTGCTCTCACTTTGGAACTACTGAACCAACCCCCTACATGCAATAAATTTTTCAGCAAAATTCACTCATTTAAATCACTGAAAAGGCTCCAAGCCTTTCCTTGCACTAAAGTAAGGCTAAATAAGAACTATACGCACCTTTCTGACTTACCAACAAATTTGACTTAAAGACAAACATAGGACTGGATCTTGTTTGTAACCTGGGGATTGCCTGTATGTAGGTTATTTCATTTAATCATCACAACTATCTAATGAGATAGAAAGACTACTTTTCACAAGTAGTTAAGCTAAACAAAGGATATATACAGCTAGGAAACTTTGACACTGTTAATTTTCTTTTCAAATAATTGGTGATACTATGACCTTCTCCTTGAATATAACTCAAAGACAAACCAATCAAGGGACAGAGAACCATCAAACACCCTGAGAGTGGAAAAAGTAAGTTTAAATTTCCCTATTTGGTTCTAAAAATGCATACTATCCTTTGCCCTAAATGGTTTTTAATGTTAGGAAATACACTAGTATTTCCTGACAACCTATCAAATGCTTTGTTCTACTAGACACTACCATGTAAGACAACTTATATACAGTACAAAAGACTACAGTAGGCTTACTTAGTTTTAAAGATTTCTGTAATACAACAAAAGTCTTTAATACTATTTTCTGCTAGTGTCAGTAAAGAATGTGTCCAATCACAGAACTTGTAAGTACTACAATTCGATTCCCAATGATCAATGTATTTCTCTCCTAGGGAGTACAGCCGCAGAAATCTGGGAAGGGCCACTATTCTATCCGTATTGCCACAAAGAGGTACTATTGTTACCATGTCTATAGATAACATTTTTTAAAATTCGTTAAAAAAAATGTTAAAACTAGTAAAACTCATTGAAAAGAATTCAAACAGAAGAGAAAGCACTTCTTTTCATGCCTCCCCACTTTACACCAAAACGTCAACAGAGATGTTATCATTTCACACTGTTTTATGTACATACACACATACTCAAACACAGAAAACATTTATGCACACATATAGTCTCTTTTTTTCTAAATACAACTTGGTTAAATAAATTTTTAAAAATAACAATAAACAAACATATTTAGTGTAAAAGTAAAGCAGTAAAAAATTGCAATCACTTACAAAAATGGTTTCCAGGTCCAGGGTAATGATGCCCTTTGTAAGCAGCCATTAATCCTGGGTTTATGCCAATCTATATAGCAAAATATTTATACATTTCAGAAAAATTTTAAAGCCTTAGGATTTTCATGGGGGAGGAATGGAATTTATTAAAATTCAAATTCAGCATTATATATCTACATTATTTAATTAACTTCCTACTCTTAATATAAGCGAAGTATTCACTTTGAGGGAAGCTGTTGTTTTTAAAAAGCAGTCTGACCACCTCCTATCCCAGGTCCTCCATCCCCACACACTGAGCTGCATCAGTCTGCAAAGACAGAGGTACCGGAATAACCAACCTCTGAGCCTGTGAGCAGCCACAAGTCTGGTTCTCAACTCCCAAAAAGTAGCTTACTCCATATAAGCATCTCAGGTGTTCCCAAGCTGATATTCTGACAGTTACTGACAAAAGTCAAAGTTCATAATAAGTGCTGTCCTTTACTAAGTCCTCACAGGGTTCATGCACTCCCAGTGATTCACATGGATTATGACACTTATCTGTGCAACCCTCTGAGGGAAGTACTATTATCACCCATTTTACCAACACGGAAACTGGGGTTTAGAAATAGTAAAGCTTGTCCAAGATCAATCACTTGCCAGGATTTGAACCCAAACAAATAGCTAGCTCTGGAGCCTACCCTCTTAAAAGGTCCCATGTAATGTAACTTCATGAGAGTGACATCATTTACCACAAAAAGATTCTCAGAAATAGTTCCTTTTCAGCAAATGCTATGTGCAAGGTAACTGTCAAGTGCAGCTAATCCACCAATGCTATATACAAAATCAAATGAGATAAAAAAAATACTTACAATCACAATATCCAGATTAAAGGTCAAGATATCAGGGAGAGTCTTGGTTAAAAGCTCAGCTTCTGAAACACCATTGAAACGGTCTACCTTTCTTTTCACTTTAAAAGTATCCGTAATTTTTTCTTGTTTCTCTTTTGATTTTGTAGACTTGCCAGATTTTTTTGGTGTGGCAGGTTTTTTTGGGTCCACTGGATTTTTTGGTTCTGTTGTTCTAGGTTTTCTTTTTCTTCCTTTTGGAGCCTCTGAAACACAGTGATTTTCTGTATGTGGACTTGGGAAATCTTAACTTACAAACCCTAGGCAGATCTCCTAGACAAGTCACCCTATCAGTACTCTTTCTCCCTCTCCTGCAAACGATGCTCTTCAAGCTTCCAACAGCAGTCTCTCCTCGGCAGTAGTTTCCCCTTCCTTCACCCCAGAATGGGTGGGTCCCTGGGTGATGCAAACAGTTAAGCTTCAACTAGTAGCTGAAAGGTGGGTCATTCAAATCTACCCAGAGGCGCCTTAGCAGACAGGCCTGGCAATCTGCTCCTGAAAGATCCCAGCCTTGGAAACTCCAGGGAACAGTGCTCCCTGCACACACGTGGTCACCATGAGTCGAAATCAACTTGATGGCAAACACCGCCACTGCCCCGGAGTGAGTTCTTGTACCCCTACCTCCTGCCTCCTTCCCTGCTAGTTGTTCTGGGGAAGAAATGCCCATAATAATCATAGACTGATGCTCCACACAGTATTATTTGGCATCCTGGCCTCACCAGAGACATAAAACATCCATGTAACATGTTATATATTGGTAAGTGAACAAATGAAAGAATACCCCCCCAACAAAAACCAAACGCACTGCTGTTGAGTCATTTCCAACTCATAGCGACCCCTCCTTGGGTTTCCGAGGCAGTATCACTACGGAAGTAGATTGCCCAACCTTCCTTCTGAGGAGTGGCTAGTGGCTTCGAACCACCAGCCTTCTGGTTAACAGTCAAATGCCTTAGGCACTATGCCACCAGAGCTCCCAATAGACAGGTAGAAAAACAGGAAGGAAGGGAACCTTTTAACTCAATTTCCCCATAACATCTAGCCGCAGACAACCTCAAACAGCTCATGTACTTGTTTCAGGAATTACGAGTACACATTCTGTTCTGCACACAGCCAAATGGGTGAACTCAGAAACTGCTGAGAAAGAAGTTCTGAGTAACAGTATTTTTCAAAAAGCAAGAGTAAGCATCCAATCTTAGGACTCAAAGCAGAGTTTCTCAACTTCTGACATTTTGAGTTGTACATTGTAGGATGTTTAACAGCCTGCAAAAGCATGATACTAAAAAATGCCTCCACATAATGTCAAATGTTCCTCGGGGAGCAAAATTACCCCTGGCTGAGAACCACCGACCTAAAGTTGTTGTTGTATTGCTGTGTGCCGTCGAGTCAGACTGGACTCATAGTGACCTCTCCTTGGGATTCTGAGGTGGTTATCACTACGGAAGTAGTTTGCCCAACCTTCCTTCCTAGGAGTGAATGGTAGGTTTGAACTGCCAGCCTTCTGGTTAGCAGTTACCTAGGTGGAAGTCTTGGTTTTCTTATCCTTAATTCTTCAGCATCTTTCCTAATTTCTCAGCCCCCTACCTCAACCCACTGCTGTTTGGTTTTCCCAGGAACAAGGTTCTTCTCTCCTGCCTCACACTGATTCTCCCTAAGGACCAAGGAGCAGCCTTGGTCACACACTAGTTAAGCACTCTACTGCTAATTGAAAGGTTGGCAGTTTGAACCCACCAGCCGCTCTGTGAGAGAATGACGTAGCAGTCTGCTTCTGTCAAGATTTCAGACTTGGAAACTTTATAGAGCACTTCTACTCTATCATCCTACAGGGTCGCAATGAGTGAGAATCGATTCAGCAGTAATGGGTTTGGTTTTGCTACACCTGAGCCCTTGGTCTGACTTAGGGATCTCCCCTGTGAGTTCCCAAAGCATCAGAAACCCCTTCTTCATTCAGCATGTGGAGGCACAATGCAGCTTCTATTTCCTCCAGATTACAAGGTATCTGAAGGTATGTGAGGGCAGGATCCACATTCCTGCACATCCCAGAATGCATCACAGTACTTGGCACATACGAAGTACTTAAAAGTACTTATAAAATAAAGGCCTTTTTTAGTTTTCTGGATTAGAATAATGCTTTGTTTCAGAGACTTTACAAGATTAAGTGGGCTTTTACTGACTTGCCTGGAGGCCATTCAGTCAAGGTGAACATTGTTTTAGGAAAAAATGTATGTAAGTTTCAAAAAAAAAAAAAAAAAAAATACATAAATTAATTGCCAATATACAACCTCCAGGATGATAAATACATGAATATTTCAGTGCCTACTATGCCCCGAGCCTTTAGATGAATTCTCTTACTTAACTAATTCTGTGATGTGTTACATCATCATTTCTTCACTCGCTACTGAATGCCTACTATATGCTAGGCACCAATGGTGGTGCTAGAGATGTGCTGAAGCTTAACACTCCAGTGGGGAAAACATATCAATAAATGTAATCACAGGTAAATTATATAACATGCTGTCATTGTTGTTAGTTGTTGTCACGTTGATTCCACCATGAAATCTAAGGTCATGGTAACCTCATGTGTGTCAGGGTTGAACTGTGTTCCATAGGGCTTTCAAGGTTGTGACCTTTTGGAAACAGATCACCAGGCCTATCTTCCAAGGCACCTGTGAGCGGTTTCAAACAGCCAATCTAGTAGTGAGTGCTTTACTGTTGGCAACAGAAGAGAGGAGATACATTAGAAAGTAACAAATGCTAGAAAAGGACACACAAATGGCAAGGTGTTTCAAGAGTGCTGGGTTTGTGCAGGGGGAGTTTGCTACAATATTAAATGAGATGGTCAAGGTAGGCCTCACTGAGAAGGTACCATCTGAGCAAAATCTGGAAGGAGGTAAGGGACTTAGAGCCATGCAGCTATGAGAAGGAAGAATGTTCCTGGAAACAGCACCAGCACAATGGTCCTAAGGTGAAAGATGCCTGACATGTTCAAGGAATAGTGAGACAGCCAGTGTGGCTGGGCAGTGAGCCAGCTGGGAGAGGAGAGGTAGGAGATGAAGTCAGAGACAGCAAGCAGGCCAGGGGTATAGAGTACACAGGTTACTATAGGGACTTTGGCTTTTTCTCCTAGTACCGGAAAGCCACTGAAGGGGTTGTGGACTGAAAAGCAACATAATCTGGCTCACCTAGTAAGAGAGTTACTCTAACTGCTGTGAGGAGAATAAGTTAAGTGCAGGGTGGAAGCAGGAATAATTAAGAGGCTACTACAATAATTCAGTTAAGAGATAATGATGCTTTGGACCCACTGGCAGGATGAAGAAACTTAAGTTCAGAGAGGTTGAGTAATTTGCCCAAGACCAAACAGCTAATTAAAGACAGGATTTGAATAAAGATTTGTCTTACAAATGGGTTATATTTTTTATCTCTAAAATTCACCATTAAGCCTCTTCTTAAATAAACTGGCTCATCTAATAGCTACTTTTCTAAATTACCATTGTGAAAACTACCTTGTACAAGCTCTTGAGCAGGAACTGGGATGGGAACCTCTGCTGGCATTTGCTGTTCGTTCACGGTTTCCATACTAGGAGCTTCAGCCATCATGTGTTGAAATGGGAATGTATAAAATGCTTGAGCTTGCCGAAGGGAATAGCTGAGAAAGAACAATTTAATATAAGACAGAATGACAAAAAAATGTATACAAATGTAAGCTTAAACCATCAGCTGTTAACATCCTTCAGGATCCAAATATTTGGTGGCCTGACTGTAGTAGTTATTTAACAGATAAAAGGGTAGGGGAGAAAGAAGGAAGATCTATTCTCATATTTACACATTCACCCAATCTTTACTAAGTACCTACTCGCCAAACGTTCATTAACTCTCACATCTAATAACAAGATAAAACATCAATAAAACTAACGAGCTATCAAGTTACTGTGTGCTTTCTCTGAAAGGAGATCATGGGAATTTTCTAGTAGAGTGACTTAAAGGCTTGCCAGGCCATACAGGGCTAAAGTGTCCACAAACACAATGTGTGCCCCTATCTCCTTTATTTAATTATCAAAGAGCCCCTCCAACATGATTTAAGGTGCTCTTTCAGTGTATTTGTCTGTTTACCTATTTATTAGTTGGTTTTTTTTCACTTTTTTTGTTTTTGCACTAAATGAGGACTAGAAAAGGATATTTTGCAAGTATCTGTTGAGTTTATGAAGAAACTACTCCACATCTCTTAAACATGATTGAAATTTTGTTCAAAGCAGTCCACTTAATGTGAGGAACACAGGCCTTCAAAGAAATCAGTTTCAAAAAAATGTTTCTGATGACACTAAACCACTTTCCAAGCTACTGCTATTTGCAACAAGTCAGGGAAAAAAGACACTTGTTTTATGAAACTCAAGTTGCAGCTAATGTCAAATATACTGTAAATACACAGTAGAAAATAAAACACTGGGAAATACAGCAGAAAGGTACCATCTACAGTGCAGAGAAATATCATGTTTTTTGCGGTGAGATACTTGTCAGATGTGCTATGTATCAGTTTTCCATGACATGTGGAAAAAGCAGGGCACTCAGAAAGCAGAGATGACAAAGGGAAACTAGCATATTTTAAACGGGTGAACTTTATGGTATGTAAATCATCTCTCAATAAAACTATGTGTTTAAAAAAGGCAAAGTGAAGCATCCCCTGGATAAGCTTAACTGGCCTAGGCAGACACACAGTGACACTAAACGGGTAAACAAGCCGGACGACGATGCTCCAGGATACACAGGGGCCCGATCCCAATGACAAACTGGAGAGGCACTTTCACTTTAAGCTATCACTAAAAGCTCACCTGGTAAAGAAAAGGTTGAGAATTAGTGAGAAAGATATTAAACTTATTTTCAAGTAGGAGGGGAGATGTTGCATTGTAGTAAACTGTGGTCAATGTCATGAGACAAAGTGTATGTGAACTGCTATATGGAAAGTGAATTTGCTCTGTACATTTTCACCCAAATCACAATTTAAAAAAAAAGGGGTTTTATTTCCTTATTTATAGTCAAATTATATAATACCACTGGTAGCTCCTTTCAATAAATCATTAAAATACTGGTTGTCCAGTGTTTGTGATTTAAAAATTCTAGTCAGAAGCTGGATATAGAAATCAAGGGATTATGAGTGCTTACCCTGTGGAAATTCTAATTAAATGAACTGCAACTTTTGATTGTGGCCATGGCAGTTTCCTGAGATGCTAACAGACTCCATAAGCTTGAATGTATATAATTAAAGACGTGGTAACAATAAATGAACAGCTATTAAGACACAGAGGTCGCTTCCCAATCTATCACAATACTACGAAGGCAGCCTACCCCCTCCCTTATGTTTCTTGAACTATCTTTGTAATGTACTATCTTTGAACATTAAATATAGCCTGAGCTGCTTAACAGCTTCCTAACAGCCAGAACTAAAAGAGAGTGAGAGTGGATTATAGCCTTATTACTTGACAGAAGAAAGTATTCCATTTACACAAAAACGCTCATGAACTTGAATGTGGGGATACTGAAGAGTTCTAATAATTTAATTTTTTAATTTTCTATTACCTAATAATAGCTAAATCTTTAAGCAGCATAAACCTGTTTCAACCTTATTATGAAGCTATTTCTTAAATATATCTGTTGTATTTATATAACTGACAGTTTAGAACTCTGCAGTGTTTCCTCTGAGTGAGAGGGACAATGACAGTAGTGCATAGGACCGGGAGGTAAGAGACCTGGATTCAATCCAAGTACCATCATTAAATAGCTGGCTCACCTTAGTCAAGTCATTCATCCTATAGGCCTCCACTGGCCCCCCCCCATTCCAAATGGTGCCAAATGGGTTCTGTGCTTCGATGCAAACTGAAAGGTCAGAGGTCTGAGTCCACTCAGAAGCCCCTCAGAAGAAAAGGCCTGGTAATCTACCTCCAAAAAAGTAAAGCCACTGAAAACAGTGTGAGGCATGGTTCCATTCTGACGCACACGAGATCACCAAGAGTGGAAGTCATCAGCACTTTTTATCTCTTGGTTCACTGTGCTCCAGGCCTCAGAAGGAAAACGAGGGGTTGGGTAAAGTGATCTCTAGGATTCCTTGTATATAGAAAATGTGCAGCAAAAAAGGGCTAAATCTGTTCAGACTCAGGACCAACAATGAGTTTTGTAAAGCATAATCCCTGACATCAGGACCCTAAGCATGACGAATGCTTTTATTTCTCCTTGTTCCGTTTTCCCTCATCATGTTTGTCCACTACTGTGCTAACTCCACCCTTTGCCTGCTATGCAGCCATTCTGTCTCCTTCATCTGCACCCCCTTCTCTTCAACCACAGTGCTTACAAGACTGGTTCTAACTGCTGTCTGAGACTGATAAACTGTGAATTTTCTGATAGTCTTTCTCAAAACACACACACACAGCTGACTCAGTGAATTCAGATTTTGCTGCATTTCAGAAAACAAAATCTTTAAGGTTTACTCTAAAATTAACTGCAACTTCTTTAATACTCCAAGTTATTTTGTACTATTGTAAGGATTTAAGTTGCTATTTTGTAAATACATTTATCCCCACTCAAACAAGCATTAACCCAATGCCATCAAGTTGATCAGTTCTCATAGTGACTCTTTAGGACAGAGGAAAACTGCCTTATAGGGTTTCCAAGGCTATAAATCTTCATAGAAGCACACTGCCTCATCCTTCTCCCACTGAGCACCTGGTGGGTTTAAACCGTTAGCAGCTGAATGCTTTAACTACACACCACCAGAGTTCCTATTAAACAAGCATATACAACAGTGACTATATACAGAGTAATGACCACTGATAAATAATCCGAATGTTCTACTAATGGCGACTAATGATACAAACTATTACAGACTGCACTGGATGTTGCTAAATGGAAGCGTGTGCACTCACCAAACATTAGTAGGCATTTACTATGCACTCTGGTGGCACAGTGCCTAAGGCATTTGACTGCTAACCAGAAGGCTGGCACTTCAAACCCACCAGCCACTCCACGGAAGGAAGACTGGGCAATCTATTTCCGTAGATTTACCACCTCCAAAACCCAAAGGGGGTTGCTATGAGTTGCAACAGACTCAATGGCAGTGAGTTTTGTTTTGTTTTTCTTTACTACACACAAGCAGTCTACAAAAAAACTGAACAAAGAAATTGAGAATTGAGTCTCCAGTTGGTTTAGCTATTCCTCATGTGGTATGATTTCACGTTTTCTCACTATTTGGTCATTTTTTTTGCGCTCAGAATCAAACAAAATGCCCCAGATATAGCTTCGTCAGACCATTACTATAGAACTTATTACATTAGCTTTTCACATTGTATTACTGATTCATGCTGAGTTTGCCATCAACAAAAACTGCCCTTACGTCACGTCTCCCTCATCCCACACATGCATCACTGAATTTCTTCACCTGAGGAAGACTATGACTCTTTCTGTAAAAGATGATTCACCCTTCCAGTCAGTTGAGATTCTTCTGGATTGTGAATTAATCTATCAACTCCATTAGCCCTCCAAGAGTTAAGTCACTCACAAATTTCTTCAGCATGTCATCAGTACCCTGCAGCTGATAAACTACTGGAAAGAACAAAGTTGGGAACAGAGCTATGTGGTACGGCCTTTGATTCTTTCAGTAGTACGCCAATTTGGATTTCACCTAACCGGACTGCCGTCAGTCCACCTTCATCTTGTGCACAAAAGTAAGTGGTACAACACCAGTTCGCTGTTAGCTCTGGAGGCAGAATTTGCAGCCAGATCACCTGGGCTCAAATACCATCTCTGCCTCTTCCTAGCTAGTTCCTTAAACTCTTTATGCCCAGGTCCCACAACTGTAAAATGGGAATAATAGCATCTACCTCATTGCTTATGAGGATTAAATTAGTTAACACATGTAAAACACTTAAGACAGTGCCTTACATAAAATACATTTACTATAACAGTTAATAATTAAAGATAGCATGAGATGATCAAATACTATAGGAAACTTCTGTCAGCATCTCACTAATTTTGTCTACTCTAGTCTGTAAGCCAAATGAGCCTGGTCTGATAGGTTTTGTTTGTTTCTGAATTTACACTGTAGCTGTGGAAGGAAGACTGGGCAATCTACTTTTGTAAAGATTTACTGCCTCGGAAACCCAAGGGGGTTTGCTATGAGTCAGAATCGACTCGATGGCAGTGAGTTTTTCGGTTATTGGTTTAGTGGTCACTAGGTTGGGCAATCCTACTTCCGTAGTGATACTGCCTCGGAAACCCAAGGAGGGGTCGCTATGAATCGGGTTTGACTCAATGGCACATAACAACAACAACAACAGCTCCTTTTTATATTGCTCCATAACCACTGATAAGCAATAATCAAGCATTTTGTTAAAGATCAATGTCAATAAATTAGAAGACAGGCTTCACCTTTTGAGGAAATATGGACCCATGTGTTTATACCCAGGCTTCACTGTCCCTCACCTACTGCCTACAAGTCTTTAAAACCAAAACAATCAAACCCACTGCCACCTAGTTTATTTGAATTCATGGGCACTCTGGTGGTGTAGTGCCTAAGACATCTGACTGCTAACCAGAAGGCTGGTGGTTCAGACCCACCAGCCACTTCTCGGAAGGAAGATTGGGCAATCTACTTCT